CTCTCATGAGCTTTCAGTTTGTTACCAGTTAAAGCAAATCAAGTCTTTAAATGTTTTCACGAACATCACATTGTTTACGCTTTCGTCACACTTTAGAAATTCTATGTCATATAATTGGAGAAACTTTTACGCGCGCACTTATTCCAAAACGGCTCCAAAGCTATTTTCTTTAAATTGCTAGAAATTAAATGAAAGTCATGTTTTAATTGAATTCGGGCAACACATATGTGCGTATGACGACGGTTGAACGTAGAATGTTGTGAGATGATATTCTGTGTCAAGTCTATGTAGCTTTGTTACTGACTAAGATCAGCTGTTTCTAGCCAGGACCATTATCCCATTGATCAAGGACAGCTGGGTCCAGTTTCGAAACATAAAAAATACAACATGTTCTCAGAATTGAACCGACGACCTTTTTGATAACACATTTATTTCTTAGGTAATTTGGAAAGAGAAGCATACTCAAAACTCTGCTAGCTACTGCTGGTGGAATGAAACCCTCTCAATTCTCCACAGAATCGCATTCGATTGGTTGAAAACGAATGGGAAAGTGTATGATTAGTACTCACTATGAACAATGTCTCTATGACTTCCTTGTGAAGAGAGGCAGCGTGGCAATGGCCATTATTGTCAGTTAATTAGACCAGAGAAGGTGGCAATGTGATGTGAAGTGTGCCTGGGAGGGGCAGCCCTTTGTTGGTATCTGGGACTCGTCCACATACGAGTTGTAAATAAGGAGCAGCATAAGTGTTTATTTTCACTAGATAGATAAGAATACCTTCTAATGACAATTCCGGTATAGAAATTATGGAATAGAACTAGAATCTTCTAATTTCGTAGAATGGCAGTGTTGGATATTCATCGTTGCATGTTAATTTACGACCATTTGACAACGATTCAAATTCAAATACAGCAGATTCGTGAAAATAGTCGGAGCAATCAGGCTGCCTTTCACACCAGATAAGAAAACCTTTTTAAGTCGATATATGAAAATCTATAAATATAGTTTGAGGCTTCTATTTATTTATTTATAAACAGATTCTCCATTTTACAGGAAAAATACACGATTTCTGTGTGGTAACTAACTTATTGTGTTGAGTACATACGTAGAGCAAGACCTATGGAAGCAACAAGAAAATTAAATTTCTTAGAATTGGTGTTGTTGGGTAATATATTATTATCTTAACTTTATTATGCATTGTTGCTGTTCTATTCTACGATTTGACAACGTAATATACAGCGCTTTAATGAAAATTAACAAAAATGTGCCACTGTTGTGTTGTAAAAGTGAAGTATTACTTGACAACAAAGCATGGATTAAAGTAGTGACGTCAACGTATTGATCTACATTGTTAACTTTGTGTAGGTCAACTTACCACTCAACGCCAGTCTTACCTCGTTTGTGTTACACCTTTCAACTCGTTGAAAAAGATGGGAGTTAGTTTGTTGAAGACAGTTCCAATTAAATCTTTCAACAGATTTAATGTTTAATGTACTGTATTGCGAAAATGTTTCTAGTAGCAGTTTAATGTGGACGAAAAATGTCACTTTGTTAATTAAACGTACCAAATTCCCGTCACATTTTTAAAAATCAAATTGCTGTATAACACATACGTTTTTATCGCTCTTCATGTGTTAAACATCTCTTTATAAACAAAATGTAAGTAGATTATATCAGCAGTTCCGCCATAAAAACATCAAATTGAAAGAGTCAGCTGATATAACAATCAGCTGTTATTTATGTACATTGTTAGAATTTGATTTGACAAAATTATCTTGTCGCATAAAACCTTCGAACAAAGCGAATTTGTTACGTATCATTCAAACAAGTTAATAGTAAAAGAATTATTTAACTTACAATATTTACACACGGTTTAACCAAATGGCATTGCCTCAATGAGTTCCTAGGCTTACTCATATGAGGTAAACTAACATTATTTGATCGAATTTCAAAATCTTACAATGAAATCAAGAAATTTGTCAATAAATAAGCATAAAGATATATCAATAAATAAGCAATCTACATTAATTTTAACGATTATTTGGATACCATTTAGGGATAATAGCTTACTGCGTTTAGCACTTAATTATAGCTATATATGTTGCATTCGGTAACCAAATGACGTGTAAAAGGAGTGTTTCCAATATTTTTTTTACATATATTAAGCTGCTTTTAATGGGTTTTTTTATGTAAAAATTCAAGTGATAAATTCATGCTACAATTAAATGTATTTTCTATAGTCGGTTGTGTTCGCGAACCAATGTTTAATAATATAGTCCAAGTCCATATATATTGAATAGCTGTTCTCCCCGCAGATAAATTATATAAAAGATGTAAATTAGTTCTAAAATTTCCCTGACGTCCGTAGAAATTCTGAAATTCAATTAATATAAAGAGGATAATGCGTACTCACCATTAAAAAGATGCGACTACTAACCTGCTTGCTTAACAGGTTAATAGCACACATCAATAGCAGAACGTGTATTATTGTGTCCATTACCACTGTTTTCATAATTTACAAGTTTGTTCCAAGTTGATCAGAATTACAGTCCAATCACGTTACACAGTTTTTGTTTTGCTTCCAGATTAGGCTATAATTATTCCATGCTAGTCGTGTGCTAGTGGGTCATGGGAGATAATACACAGCGGATCCGGAAGTTGGAGAGGAAGTAGGAGCCTACAGTTTCCTCCGGCAGATGGCTCTAGCCTCGCGCCTTCTGTTAATTTACACATTATTGTTATCATCACGCAGTTGTAGTTGTTTGTTAGCGGGCGTTGATCGACAGTTGAGCTGGTTGGTGCGTAGCGCAACAGCGTGAAATGTAGTGCATCGCGTAGGTGTCTGGTGTTATTCCCCCTGGGTTTCAGTAGGCTAGTGCTGTAAGCCTAGTGTTTTTGTAGTGTGAAGTGTGAACAATACTGTTCTGCACGTACTAATGTCTCATTTGTTAATATCTGGTTACTTGATGGATCATATTTTGGCCACAATTTGAGATTTCGAGTTTTTACGAGTGTGCTAAATACGGAATGTACGAATTAAACTGGTTAGTATTATTTTGTTGCTGTTGAATTTGCTGTGGAACTAGTACGAGTTTTCATAATCAAAAAGTGTTCTAAAATCGAGTTTAAATTAATTAATTTATAAAATATGTATACTGTGTCTTTACAAATAATGGCTTTTAGTATAGTCTCTATATATTTGAACGGATTGTGTTTTTGGCTTCTAGGGACATGAAAATGAAAAAGTAAATCGGTCCCGGGTCCAAGTCTTACCATAAGACCTACGGTAATAGTTTATTCCCTATATGGGAAATTCGCTAACAAATAATTTAGTATATTGCATTGTTTTGTTCGGTTATTGGTTCCGGAGGAAATTGAAAAATTTTTTAATATAACATTCCCATGTTATTCTTATGGAGAATAAGTAAACTGTTGTAGTTTGCTTGTTTATGGATATATTTTGATCAAACTTGGTTAATTAATTTATTTTATACTAAGCTATTATATTTGACTAAAAACCCCAGTTTATAACCCTTCCTGTAGCAGCAAACCTAGGTACTTAAAACTTATTAAACCTCACGTTATTTAAATAGATTTAAATGCAAATCCAATGCTGTACTGATAAATGGACATTCGCTTAGTCTGCAGGTTTGCTGCGGTGGGGATATTTTGTAATAATAATGAAGGTACACCCGTATTATCTACTCTCCATTAATAGATAACGATTGTAATAAAATCTAAATAGCCGTCAAGACTACGTAATCCGTTAAACAATATCGTGGTTTATTCTGCGAGTTCTTGTTATTTTGTGATATCCAGATGTTGTGCTGTTGAAAAACTTACACAGATTACGGTAAGTTTCCATTCGTGATATTTTCTAAATGAGGGATGGCATGGTCACCTTAGCGGGTGCACCCTATACCTACAAGTCCCGTTCACAAAACGGCGGTTTTAGAGGAAGGTACCCCACCATTTTCCTTTTGCCCGTTCCTCTACCCGTCTGGCGCGCACGAATGCAAAGGGTTTAGTTCTTCCTGATTGTAGCCCCAATTGTGAACCGATTTAAAAGATCTTGGTGTCATATTTTTCGTTAAATATTATTGTAGTTTTGCCGTTTTTTTTTTTTTTTTTTTTTTTTTTTTTTTTTTAATTTTGATAGTTTAAAAAATGTTGGGCTCAAAGGTTGGTAAAAGTGTTAAAATACGCGATTTTTATCATAAGTTTTAACGCATACAAATAATTTTTAGAGAAAAAAAAAACGGGAAAAGTGAAATAGATTCTTAAAAACAAGAACCTGCCGTTAGTTTACTAAAAAGTTGGAGGATAACTATGTAATCACGCAGACTCGAAAGGCTTGCAAGCGATCTTCAAGGCGTTGTTCAATGCAATGGTATAGGGACATCGGCGTTCGGCAACTTCGTATTGAGAAATCCGAGCTGAGGTAGAGCGTACCCTTAATGTATGTACTGTATAGTTATTTATGTTTGACCAGACCAGATAATACGTTTTTCGCCATACTGCAGCAAAAACAGCCGCTTTTTTTATGCATGCGTTGCGGGTCTAAAGTAGCATTAATTGTTTGCCCATAGGGAGTAAAAATCAGCTGTTGTAAACAGTTTAAATTTCGATTGTGGCAATCGTATCGATACAATCATTTATCGATTGATTTAATAAGTATGTTTTATCTATGGTATAATATATATACTGTATATATAAGTATACACATCAGGTCGGGTTCACTCTTGTTATTGTACAATGTGACCAATCAGATTCAGATTCTTATAATAGCGTTGGCTAACCTGTGAATGCCAGCAGCTGATTTTGCTAACGTTTCTTCTTCATTTCACTACATTCATTGGTTGTTGAAATTAATGTGCTGATTTGCTAGCTAAAGCTAATGCGCATGCGACAGCAATACACACACATAACATTATCATTATATACACATTTTACAATTCACTCAAAAAATACTACTTGTTCTTGTTGTGTTGTAAGCCAGCTGATTTGATTGTCAAATATTATTATTTATTTACATTTTATTGTTTATGTTTAGTTTTGGACATTGGATAAATCAAGCTTTTGATATTTCTGACTTGAAAGAAGTTTGACGTTTGATCATGTCAAATAATGACATGTATGCTTCTGATTTTGCTTAATTAATTGTCATTAATGAATCTAATAAGTCAACAGGATAATTTTATAAACATGATATCCTAACGATTTAAATTTCTCCAAATTAGGGTAGGCATCTGAAAGTAATTTAAACGTGTCTAAAGCAAACTATGCCTAATTTCTTTTCAAAAACTATGAATGATTTTGTACGCGAATTTAGTTTGCATAAATACCCTTATTTCATAGAGGAATTTATTGTATGACACAGCCGCTAATTGGTAAGTGTAGGCTAAGTTACCCTATTAGGCTAGCCTACTATAACTTTTAAGTTAAAGGACCTCTTTTTAAAGGGAACTATTAGAAAATGGGAAAGATGCTGAATATCGTGTCTCATGCTTTTGAAGTGTAGATATACGATTTGAAGTCAGTTAGTAAGATATGATGTATAAGTTATTTAACCTAAACTTAGGCCTAATTGTTGACTTTAGGATAGGCCTACTGAATATTAATGTCTAACTTAGGCATTAAGTTTTAATAGCTTATAGTTCTAACTTAATAGGCATAATACAAAGGTGCGTAACCTACTTAAGTAGGCCTACATCTATCTAACATACCTTAACTTGAATAAGTAGTTTGCCCTAAAGATGGATAGCTCTACGCATCCAAAACGTCGGCCTCTTCTGTGCCTCTAACTTAGTCTCACTCATTCAACGATGCTGTCATCACTCGAAGACCTAGATTTGACATTCTACTTAACATGTTAAGTCTTATCATACTGATAACCAGTTACTTAGTCCTAGCCGCAAACTTCGTACAGTAAGTTAAACCTTCTCTTTACTGACTTTAATGGGACCTGACCTGGGTTGGATAACTTAAAAAGATGGTTAAAATGGGCAATCCCTAAAAACTTTAAAAAATGAAGAGCTATTAATTTGAAATTTTTAACTTAATCATTATTTTGTAGTCGTGTGTGCATTATTTACAAAATAAGCTAAACTACACCCATACCATAAACTACGGCACCTTGGTTTTCATATGGTAGGCTACTGTTTTCATAAAAATATTTTTAAAGTGTTGGCTTTTGGTTTCAAAATAGGAAGGCCTTGCCTATTATAATACTTTTGTTTACTATTTAACAATACTTCGGCTAAGTTACATGGATTGTTGATTAAATTTTATATTGTTTTATATGCAAAATAAAGAATTAATTGTTAATACTGGTACGGTATTTCTTTTAGGAGGGGTGGTGGAGGCAAGATGGCAGCCACTTCCATGCGAACACATTCCCATACTCCTCTACAGACTATTAACCGTGGAAACTACTTCATGAGACCGCTCAGATCTTCTGTGCCAGGTAAATTATCAATCCAATTCAGGTCATTGAGCGGAGCGAAGCGAAGCTATTTGGGACCAACTTCAATGCAATCTTTATAACACTTAATCTCAATAACGGCTGAACATATTTTAGCCAAACTTACCAAGGTTGTTTTATCATAGTATGGAGCATGCATTTTGAGTCATAGTATCGATTGTATCATTTACTAGTTGATAGATGCAGTCTTGTAAAGTTACTGTACTAACATTTTTTGGAAATTCAAGTGCAATTCTTAGGGAAATTGTAAAGTTACAGGTTTCTTCCCCAAAATTATCATTAATAGCACAAACCAGTTCATCATAGCCGTCCACTTCATCCACTTGAGATCACGTTTGAATTGTCAAACGCATCATCTAGCCTAACCATTTAACCCCTTAACCGCCACGCACGAGGTATGCCGGGCGATACTAGTTTTCAGAGCAACCGCCACGTACGAGTTATCTCGTGTTGACGTACAACACCCAGCTCATCAAAACTTATCAGCTGTTGTGTACAGCTCACTTCCCGCCTTATCTCTGATATAAGTACGTAAACAAGTTGTTGACAGTGCTGTTTGACTAGTGCTGCAATCTGGTGGATTTTAGTGGTATTATAGGTCAGTAATGGTCCCGATCAGTTCCGTTCGTAGTTTCAGTAAAACTCGTGCTTGCGGAAGCTTACGTAATGCTTACGTACATTATGCGTGTCATTATAATTGTGTTTTTTGGTGGTTATTTACTTGGTAGTGTTGAATGAGTAGTAAATATTAGTCGTAATGGCTGGTGACATGCTTGAGGATGACGATTTATTAGAGTTGTAGACTTAATTGTAGGCCTAATTTTTATTATAGGCCTAACTCAAGAAACCCCCAAACCCCAGCCCCCCCCCCCCAATCACAAATTTTAGTAGGGTATTGTTAAAGCTTAATGTTTTTGAAGATGTCTACAAACAATATTGATAACTATTTTCTTTAAAAAACAACTGGTACAGTTTTTTAAATCACAAGTCAAAATCGTCAAAAACGGAAAAAATAAGTGGCAATGGCGGATTTTGACTAGGCTACTTAGACGGCGGTTAAGGGGTTAATCACTCATCCCAAATTTTCCAATAAGTGTCAACTGGCATAACTTTTATTGCATCCAGAAAAAAACTATATACCTAAATTCACAATTGGTAAGATTTCTTATTAACACAGCCATAAACAAGCGGTACAAAGTGTTTACACAAAACAGTACGCTCGCTCAATGGTGTAGGTTTGTCTGTCTTGCCTCACAGTTTCTGCCATGCATGTGCAAAACCAGGATCCCAGTTTTGCCAGTGAGAAAAATGGAAACGGAACTTACTTTCCGATCTTATCTCACCTTTTCAAAGTGCCAGTGTAGTAAAATTAAGAAAATGAAAAGGAGATCTAAATAGGTGCTGGTTTAGTAGACTATCAAGAATACTTGTAGAGGTTGTTGGAAAACTTTCAAATAATATACCGTATTTTTAAGAATATATATTTTCTACGTGTATACAAATTTTGTATTTGGTTACCTATCAATCTTAAGACTGAGTTTGTTTCAGGAAAACACAAAAGTGCAGTAGAACTGCTTCAAGAGTCAAAATGTCTATATGTGAAATCTGAGGTTGTTTTGGATCAGCGACAGCAGTTGAAGAGTTCCAGTCCAGATAACATCCATTCACCCTTTGTAAAAGGTGGCTGATAATTTTTAAATACATTGACTTTAAGTCTTGCATCATGTTACAGACTGAAAGTTATCTTTTAAGGTTAATACTATTATCTTTTTCAGTACAATTAAGTAGGTAAGGCAGTTTAATTTTGCCCATACGTGACTTACTGAACTTACTGACGTTTAATAATTTATTGATAACTCTGAAGGATCTGTTTTTGTCACTATTGTAGTCCTGTGACCTTGATCAATTATTTAAGTGGGCTAGAATTTGCATAAGTTAGATTGTTATGGTAGGTAAAATTCTTATAACTGTTTGAACTCCTCCTTGCATTCACATGTTTGATACTTTTATCACTGATTGTTTGCTAGTGCGAGGCTCGTCCCACCCCACCAGTGCTCAACTGAGACGTTCTTACAACTCAGCTACCTCCACCGACCAGCTTCAAGCCAAGTTGCGAAGACTGTTGAATGCTGATTCTAAGGAAAACTTGATCGAGGTAAAACCAGCTGAAGATGTGATATGCATAGCCTGATTTATTCTGATAATTTTTTAATGTTTTTTTCCCACTGTCCCAACTTTAACATTACATTTTCTCAAGAACACTACCGGTATGTTGTATGTTTGTAATTGCCCTAAATAGCTATTTGTTTCCTATAGATAGGATCCTATATAGATGTAGATCTACATCCAAAAAATCCAATTCTCCCTTACAACGTAATTTTTTTATGTTTGTTCAGAGCTTAGTTGAGTTCTAAAAAAGTTAGTAGGCCTAAGACCCTATTTTAGCTCATCTGTAGCTTCTTGCTTATCTCAGGCCCGGTTTTAGGGTAAATATCGCCCAGGGCTGCAAACAGCTGTGGCTATACCCCCAGCAGGCTCTGCAGAAATGGGGGCCCTCCCCCAGAAAATGTTTGGAATTAAAGGAGCTAAAAACAAGTGTTAACACTGTTTGGAGGATGAAATACTGAGTTTTGAGAATTTGGTGCTCTAGGATTAGCCTAGTCATCCCATAATACAAACTGTGGTCTGGTTTATCTAACTTTTCATTTCTTCTTCTCCTTGCTCTACTTTAAAGACATTCTACTGTTTTTCTTCTCTAACACACTTGAGTGTTTTTGGCAGTCATACACCCTCTAATGACATCTCAGATGTCTTTCAGGACAGATAATTACTTGTTAATTGTTAGTACAGTGGATTCATGATAGCAAAACCCTCGATAACAAGTGTCATTTTCAAATCCCCTAGAATTTATTTTACCCCCAATTGAAACGTTATTGCAAACCTCGATAAGAAGTCGACCTTGATAACAAGTCTTCATAACGTGTTGATTTTCCTACAGTCATAGTCTATTCATGTTTGTATAGTGAGACGACGTTGTCAGAACTTAAGAACCAAATATTAAAATATTAAAGATTAATAAAGAGCATAATCAACATTGTTTGCGTAGGACACCTGTGTGAAAGAAGAAGTGAGAAGGTCTCCACAGCACTACCAGAGGTCAAACTCTCACAAGCCGACTCAGCAACATGCGAGACACAACCACATGTGTCCAGTTCAGCACAAGTCACTGCCAGACCTACACGCAGCCACTAGCAGTGGCAGTGACTCTAGTGAACCTGCCAGCTGTGAATACGTCCTGTACACCAACAACAGGTGGGGGATCAGAAACAGAACTTAATAAGAAAATGGATTGTTTTGAATCATTACATTTTAATAGGAAAGTGTCTACACACTTAACCTCTTAACCCTGAGATGAAGTTCCCCCAGGCTAGAGCAAAATAAGCAGAAGGTCGGCCTTCATATTTTTAGGACATTGCCGATTGCACATTTCCAGGTTTTTCAACAAACTCATACAATGCAAGTGCTGCCTAATTGCTCTTCTAATTGGGAGCGTGTCATTTAAAAGTGTGAGAAGGAAAGTTTGGCTGTTTCCATTTTACAAGCAACCCCAAAGCCAAGTGAAATGAAGAACTTTGTCACTGGGGTGTCTGTAAATTGTTTGGAAATTCTGTAATTTAAGATTTAAATAATCACTGCCAATAGCTTATGAAAGAGTGTCCATTGATCAAAAGTGCTTCATTGGTAAGAGTTTTGCATTTTTGCCTCATATGTGAAAACCACAACACAGGGATTGAAGACAGAGTTGCTGTGATCACAACCGATCTGTTTCCAGCAGCGGGGATAATTATGATGCTGTTTTTTCGATGTTTTGAGATTCACTTATTACATATTAGTCAGTAAAAACTTAATGACACTTTGCACCAATTAACAGATGATTTATGGATATAAGTACTATCAGAAATGCCCCCCCCCCACCAAAAACTGCAACGTATGAGGCCCACCATCCTCCTAATGCTGTGCCATGTAGATTGAGCCATCAATAGGATTGTGTTCTGTTTACACCTAACAGTAACAGTATGTTTCTATATTAGTTCTCTTCTCGGTATCAGTAGCCTACTTTTCCCAAGAACTTTGCTTTCAGGTACCCACCATTACTAACTCAAATCCAATTTAGATCTGTATTCTGCAATTACGTTTTGAAAAAAAATTACACTTAATTACTAGTTCATTAAAAATTTACACTGATTGAAGCTGAGAGCTTCATTATAGACATAATCAGATCAAATTATATTTTGTAAAATTTACAACGTTATATTTTGTTTGTATTGGATGTGGCACATGGCCAAATTTAAACTTTATTTTGTGTAACTGAAATAATTGTTTTTTTTTTTTTACAGAAAATGCAGCTCGTCCAGACAAAGCACCAATGATGAGATAAGTGTTGAGTCTTCAAACAGTAGATCAAAACCTCTGTCAAGCCAGGTGAATATTTGAAAATATAAGATCACACTTTTTAGTTGAACATATATTTTAGTTGAAAATTGGACAAACTGCCACCTATATCCAAGTCCCAGTAATGTTTTCCTTTTTTTGTGGAGATCGATGTAAACATGCCAAAACGAATCGAATCCGAATCTTTTTAGAGATTCGATTCGGATTCGAGAACGAATCTACTGTTTCTAACTGGATTCGGATTCGATATTCGAATTTACTGGTAAGAGATCCGGGTTCGGATTCGATATTCGAATTTCTTGGAAATAGATCCGAGTTGGGATTCGATATTCAAATTTACTAGATTCTGATTGAATATAATTTTCAATATAATTTTTTAGACACTAAAAAACTACTTGTGCACTCCGATTTGCTGTTGACTGATTCATGTTAGGAACCTGACCAACTTGGTGTTAGGTTTTAGGCACATTAGTGTAGGTCGCATTTGAACCCTATCTTGGCTATCAGTAAACTTAACCTCACAGTGTTAGTTGTTACTTGTAATAGTAATGCAGACATAGGCTTGAGTGGAGGATTAACACCGAGGTGTATAATAGGCTGGGCCTATGTTTTAGACTACACAAATTGGTAGTCCATCACTTTTAGCGAGTAACTGAGGCCTAGGTGGTATGCCTAACTTATGCCCAATTTTTTAGTTTCAAAACTTCAAATAGGTAGGCCTAAATTTTATAACTTTTTTATTTGGCCCATTTCAAGAATTTTTTAAGCAATTCCCTAAGTTATTTTAGCCCCAGAAAATGTGGTCTAAATATGTGAAAATTGGTACTGCTGACTTTCCTCGGATTTGGATTCGACTCTGAACAGGTTTAAATATTCGGATTCGATAACAGCTTTAAATTTCAGATTCGGATTCGATCCAGGTTCGATAATAGCTGTAAATTTGAGATTCGGATTCGACCCAGATTCGACTCGGGATTAATTAAAATATTCGGATTCGATCCGGATTCGATAAAATCTGTACAGCTATGATTCGGATTCGGATTCGAACCAAAATTTCTGGATTCGCACAGCCCTGAAACATGCAGTAGGTTTTCAGTCTCAGGTCTACAAATTGAGCAGAGCAAACAAAAAAGTAAACAAATAATCTTATTTCTAAATAAAATTTGTTGTACCTATAAAAAAGATTATAACATGACAATAAAAAAAAAAAAAAACTTTTAATAATCAATACAATACAAGTAATCATACAAGTAAGTATCATCATACAAGTGATGATGTTTCAATTATTACTGTTAAAAAAGTTCTTCCTGCTATTTTAAAACCTCTTTTACATATAGTAAATTCTTCTCTCATTTCAGGCATTTTTCCTAATAAACTCAAAATAGCAAAAATTATTCCAGTTTTCAAAAAAGGGGAACCAAACGATGTTTCCTGTTACCGACCAATTTCACTTCTTCCAGTTTTTTCAAAAATCTTAGAAAAAGTTGTTTTTATACAATTGATGGATTTTTTAAATGAACATAACTTAATGGATTCAGAACAACATGGATTTCAAGCAGGCAAATCGACAGTCACTGCAGTTATTGAATTTATTGAAAGTATAATAAATGCAGTGGATAAGAGAGAAAAAGTAATTGGCATTTTTCTTGATTTAACAAGGGCATTTGATAGTGTATCGCATGAAAATCTTATCGACACTTTATCAAAATTAGGTATTCATGACAAAGAATTAAATTGGTTTAAATCCTACCTATTTCTTAGGCAGCAATATGTTGAGATAGAACATTATAAATCAGATTTCTCAAGTAAATATAATTACATCCAAAAGTTTAATTCACAGATGCAGATGGTCCGCCATGGAGTTCCGCAGGGGTCGGTGTTGGGGCCCCTCTTGTTCCTAATATACTTGAGGGGTCTGCCGGACTTGATGCCTGTGGGCGGGGCGGCCTGTTTGTATGCTGATGATACTAATATTACCATTTGTGGAAATTCAAAAGAAAGTATTGAGGCATCATCATTGGCCAGTCTCTCCATCATAAAAAAATTCTTAGATAGCAAAAACCTTCTTTTAAACCCTGAAAAATCTAATTTTGTATCATTTTCTACAAAACAAAACAAAAACAAATTAAATCCAGACATAATCTTAGAAGATTATAAATTACAACAGGTAGAACATACAAAATTTCTTGGTTTAATAATTGATAAAAATCTAGCCTGGGACAAACATGTTGATCATGTTATCAAAAAAATGTCTTCAGGAGTATCTGCTTTAAGACAAATGTATAAAGTTTGCAGCTTAAAAACATTAATATCAATATATTATGCCTTAGTTCATTCTAATTTAGCTTATGGAATCAGTATATATGGAGCAACTACATCAAAAAACTTAAAACGGATTTTATCGTACCAGAAAAGGGCAATTAGGGCAATGTTTAATTTGAAAAGGAAAGATTCGGTAAAACATATTTTTACCGATCTTGGAATACTAACTGTTCATGGACTATATATCTTGGAAACTATTATTTATGCAAAAAATATTACAAAAACTCAGGTATCAAACAAAATTAGTCATAATTATAACACTCGTTCTCAATCTCACATTGATAGACACAATCTAGAATTTTATAAAAAGAAAACAAAATTCGCAGGAAATAAATTTATGTCCCATCTTCCAAAAATACTTCTAAATGAAAATGATACAAAAAAGTTTAAAAATTGTCTGAAACAGTATTTGATTAAAATTTCCCCTTATTCTCTTGAAGAGTTTTGGGAGAACAAATAAAATAAATATTCTGTCTTATTTTTAGTTCTTAAATGTAAAACATTTTATTTTGTAATATCTGACTCTATTCCTGTACAATTGTACTTACATGAATAAAGGATATTTTGATTTGATTTGATTGATTATGAGTATCTAATGTGCATGTACTGTTCTTGTTTATGCTTGTAACTATCTCTTTCAAAAAATGCCTCAACTAGCAAAATGTATGGACTATTTATTATTCATTGTTCTCAGAGAAGTTCCAAGTCATCCCACTCAGGTAGCTGCAGACATGGTTTGGTATTAGCCTCCCCAGTCAAGTCCAGTGTGAGCTATGGAGGATCAGCCGGCAAAATGGAAAATAGGTATTTATTTGGCACAGAGTGTTTTCAATAGTGTAGCTGTTTTATTGATTAAATCATGTGATTTAAGTCATAGAGTCTTGGACTTAAATGCTGATCTCGAATGCTTTTAGCCAGCTGGTGTTAGGAGACATGACAGTCCTGGCATAATCTATCCTGTTATGAGGGTTACACACTGGGGTCGGGGTCACAGAAATTGTGTAAAGTCTGATAAAATTGAATGAAACATGGATGTCTTTGGCGAATTGTCTTATCTCTTTTGAATGTATGAGATATATCTCACAAAAGATGTTACAGGCATAATGTTATAAGATGTTAAGGCATGGTTACACAAGTGTGCATTCATACGAATACGGTACCAGCCTTGCATTCATACGAACAGTACACAAACTACTGAATTGAATTAAGCACAATCTGACGATAGAAATGAGGTTTTGTACACCTAAAACTTTTTAAAAATTATCTAGTTATATAAATCAACATAAAATATATAAAGGTTTAGGATGTAACTTAGAGCACAAGGAACTAGGTTTTTAGAATTGGCCTATTTCCCTATTTGTAAGAATAGCAGGTGCACCTGAATAGGAAAGAGCCCAAACCGTCGCAAGAAACACAAAACTTTATACTATACACAAATTAGAATAGCTAAAAAATTAAATTTCCTCAAGTTTTGTGTATAATATTCTTGTTCTATAACTTTCACCAATGAAAAAGTGTTGGCTTCTTTACAATTATTTATGTTCAAAATCAAAAAGTTTCTTTTACTTCTTAGATAAGTAAAAGAAATTTGTTTGAGACCGAGCTTTATGACTATCTGTAGCAACACGGCCAGTTTAGTGGGACTTGTGAGGGTGTCTTTTGAAGGTTCAAACCCTGCTAATCACTATTTTCATTTTGCTATGGTAGTTTGAAGCCCACTTTGCACCCACCTATCAAGCACTGTAATATAGTACTATATTATATACAGTAGACTCTCGCTAGTCCAGATCGGCAATCGTGTTCTTTTTTTAGTGGCACAATATTATCAAATAAAGTCCGGATCAGCAATCGTGATTTTTTTTGCGGCACAGTATGTATTATCAACTAACGACTAACAACACACGATTACAACGATTAACAACTAACTTGACGTTTCAACGCCTTAATTTATTGTGCGAGTAAGCCCGCATCACATTAATGGCATACATTTTGCGTCATCAGGCGTTCTTTGCAAAATCAATAATCATAGTGACGACGACATGTGCCATTTTGGGAGAGGGAGGGGGCATGTCATTAACCTCTGTCAAACAGTCTGCTACTTGTCAGAATGCTTATTGTGTTCTGTATTGTGATAAAATGAGTTGTGATAAACGTAAAAAGTTGTTTGTGACAGTTGAAACTGTAGCCGACTGTAATTTATTATGATGAGTTTTAACTTGTTTTAGATGCTCCCGTTTCTATTAGCGCGTGTTTTGTCAAAACAGCTTGTCATAACGGCAAGATTTACGAATATTTGCTCGACTTTCAATAGTCCGGATTTTTCATAATCCGGACAAGACATCCACCACATTAGTCCGGGTGAGCGAGAGTTAACTGTAAGGTAGTTCTATGTGAACAGTCTTTGCACTAGGGATTTACATCTACAAAATCCTATACAACACCTTTTGTATGTTTCCTACAGGAGGCCTGAACCACTGTGGGACGAGACCGACCCAGAAGCAGACGACACAGCCAGACTGAGGCCTATTCTGAGGTCAAAGTCAGATGTTGGTCACCGCTACACCAAGCTCACCCCTCCACCCCCCACCCCAGCCAATCTGGACACATTCTTTGAACAGCTGGGACTGAACTCTGCTGATTTTCAGTAGGTGTTATAGTATTTTAACAGCAATTCGTTTTTAGAATATAAACACAACAAACATAATACTTTAATACTTTTCAATGAAATGGCGACCATACAAAGTAGGTATTTTAAGCCAAGTATGAATGGAGATGAGTGGTGCGATCTTGTAGTCTTGTTAGTGACTAGGCCAAGAGGGGCATACATTATTTATACAACAACTCTAGCAAATCATTGAGTAACTGTAACTGCAGTAACAATAATTTTGTGGAATGTTTAGCAGTATATTTGTTTCGAGTGCAATGTTGAAATGAAGTACCTAAAATTTTTATTGATTTTTATTAACATTTTAATTAGGCTATTTTTTGTGTGTTTTTACACCAGTGGACTTTTTTTACGTTTTGAAAGGGAACAGTTCAAACCCTGGTCTTGTTCCTATCCAACGTCAATCTTTTTGTTAGATAGCAAAGCATCATTAATTAATAGCCCAATGACAAATGGCATCTGGGCCTGGAAAAGATCTCGCTTGGATTCGAACCAGTGACCTTGAATGGCGATTTTGGGTCATTAACCGGTCTTAAAACTAAAATAATAAATCTAAATAAAAAAATTATGCATAGCGACTAATCCTTGTCTTATCGGCAAAGATTTTAAGGGTTTTTGTTTTTGATTCCTATATTAAAAATACCACTGGTTTACACACTTAAAGAATATACATGTATGCTTAAAACCTGATATATAGGCCTATCATGTGTAATCTCCATATTCAAAGTCTGACAGATTGAATTTATTTCTCAGTGTGATATCAAAACCGAGTTCCCAGACGTCATCACCAGTGTTCTTCTCTGACACGAGTTCCGTAGACTCGTTTTGTGCCACCAACCAGAGCTATGGCGGGAGTGAAGGGGCTGCTGGCTCATCGGGAGAACTGCCTTCCATTGTCGAACGCAACGCTCGGATCATAAAGTGGCTTTGCAACTGTCGCAAGGCGCAGCTCTCCCTCCCAGCTAAGGGGGTCAGCTGATCACTACATCACGTGATTTGCCGGCTCAGATGTACAGGATAAACCGTCTTTCAAATTGTTAACTCATCTGTGTTTAGGTATTGTAGATGTTAGTGAACTGTATCTTGCAGATAGCCTAACTCAGTTGTGTGTGTAGAGGTATATTCGATTGGAGGTTGAAAGATGTTATTCTCTGTCAAACAGATGTTATTGCCGTTTTGGTCATCTCTTTGGATTGAAAATGTAATTAGTTTAACTGGAGAGATTTGTTGTGTTTAGAAATTTAGTGTTGAATTTTGAATATTTTTTACATCCTGTTAATTTAATTTGTCACAATTTTTTAGGATCTGAATAAGAAAATTCAAACGTATTTTAATTTGGATAATTTTTAATAGAGCCTTCTGATTAAGTAGTACCTATTTAAACTTATGATGGCATAAAATGAATTAATAAATATAGCTAGCAGCTTAAACAGTTTATGAATAACTGACCTGATCCTTACAGTGTCGCTAAATAATGTAAAATATGTTCTTTTACATTGAAAAAGTTTTTATTTTAATTTTAAATAGAGAATGTATTACAGTACCCTAAATTATCTCGGGTCCAGGTCTTACTCTGCCACCTACGGTGATAGCTACTTCTCTATAGGAAAATTTACTAGAACAAAATGTATTTATTGCCTGATCAAAATTATTCTTTAAAACTGTGACTAAATCTAATACACTAAGTGATTCTGGTATCATGATATAAAAATAAAAATAAACTGGTTTTGATTTTTGAAATACACGAACCTCATAGCCTACAATTAACACATGGAACTGCAACAATAAAACAGTGTGGCAACACAACCAAATAAATATTTTTAAATTTAATTAATTTTAATTATAGTAGTTACTCTAAAATCTGAACATGAATGAAATAAGGAATAGGTGAGAATAATTATTTAGCTCGTTAGTGAAATGTTAAGTTACAAGTAGACTAGCATGCTGAATAGCTAGGCAAAGGCAAATGATAGTAGAGGCGGGTTAATGTGATAAAATGTACGGTAGATATTTAAAATGTTGTGTTAACTTCTGAAAGATGTCTCTACTGATATATTTAATTTATTTACTAAGTGGCGCCTTCCTTTGCTCTTCTTCAAAGGTATATTTTTTTGGGCTGGTTCTGGTTTAAATTTTGTTAATAGCTATGAAGAACATGTTAGATGTAGTTTATTTATTGTTACCATAACTGTATTTTTTAACTGAATGTGAAGTATTCTGTTGTTGATCCGATTTTTGTTTATCCCTCAATAGGTTTTGTATAATTTATATTATTGTTATATTTGTACATTGTTATGGTTCTAATTTTATATAATTTATAAAAGAGAAGTATTTAAAACTGTACATTGTTTGTTGTCATGTGTAAAATGATGAGTGTAGCATTTTGTGGAACATTCCATGTATTGGTACTTAATTTGTTACTGATTTTTTAACGTTTATGTTTAGTTGGTTAGCTAATTCAATTTTATCATTAAGTAACCTCATATTTACAAATTAATTTGTATATATTTACACACAAACCTACCAGACATACTTTTATTATTGCAATTTTATACTTTTGATTGTCTTTTGCAAGTTCTACAGTATATCTGCTGATAAAACTAGTTTAAGCTGCAACCAGCGTTAAATGACAAAATTCGGCTGTCTCCTTCATTTCAGTGCAATGTTATAAAAACTTATTATACCGTATTCATATAGGGCCTTAGTACAAAAACATTGTTTCAATAGTGACAAATTTTAAAATAATATTAAGCAGCCTTGTGTGTGTGTGTAGTCATTTTGTGATTTTAAATTTTAATTAATAACATTTACCTTACAAGTTTTTCTTATAAATCAAGTAGGCCTAGTTATTATTATAATTTTGTTTTAATATTAATTTGGTTTGTAGAAACTTTCTCTTAAAAAAATTAATAAATAAAACTAGGCTACCATTTAGTTGATTTATAAATAATTAATGAAATGCATTGATGTAATAATTTTTTTTTACATTATAACATTACAAATTAGACTAATTTAACCTTTTGCTCATGTTCAATGGAATTAAAAGTGCAAAAGGCTAAACAATGAATCTCTAATCTTTGCTTTTAAATGCAATATTTTTAAGAAAATGTGTACAATCCAGGTGATGTGTAAATGTAGTTCTCCTTAGATAAAATTAATCCAGGAACATAAATAGGACTTTTAGTTATAGTCAACTCATCAACATGTACCCTTCTTTCCATTTTAGTTGTGTAAAATATAAAATATAATTAATCCAAGCCTTAAAACTCTAAAATTTACTGTGATAGAAAAATAAAGCTGTAAATAGATACTCATTATATTTCTCATTTTAATTTATATATTTACTGATGTACTGTATTAGCATTAGCACGTAATAAAGTATTGATTTGTTAATCACTTTTTACTGTACTCCCACTAATTCTAATACTGTATGTTGTTATTTATTATTTAGAAAAAAGTGCTTAGCCTACTCTGACAACTAAATTATCAGAAGTTCTGTTTGAATTGTGCTCATATGTGCTAGAGCTTTCAAAAGTGTGACAGTGAGAGACTAATAATTCTCTGTTGAAATAATCAGGCTGAAAATATAACTGTAAAAAAAATACCTGAAGGGATAAGAAGCAACAGCAAAAGTTGATGGGATAGAGAAAATGAAATATATCAAAGCTCATATTAAATAAGTTCAAATAATATTAAAATTTGTCATTTGGTTCAGCTTATTGATTTATCTAATGTACTTGAGCATATTTTATTTTAACCAACCCTATATTCTTACATTTCAACTTTGTGCTATGTACGACTTGTCATGGAGATTATATATGATCTGTGACAAGGATGTTACAACTCACAAAGATAAATAAAACTTTCAACCACCAAAAATGCTCATTCTGCCATGATGATAAGTAGTGTGCAAACACCGAATTTGTCGGCACAGCATATTATTAACTTGTCTGAAGAGATTAATGAGCACTCTTAATGTAACCTGCTGTGTCGTACAACGTGTTGTTGCTTGAAAAAGAATGTAATGTCTTAAGGTGCATTGTCACTGGTGCGGCTGGAACTGCAGTCGTCGGACGATCATCGTTGGACGATTATCGCTCAGCAATAATCATTACAGTAGGCATTGTCACTGGTGCGATTATTATACAATCGTTCAGTTGCTTCTTGACTGTTGCCGAGTTGAAGATTAATTAATAACATTTACCTTACAAGTTTTTCTTATAAATCAAGTATGCCTAGTTATTATTATAGGATAGTGAATTATGAGTTTATAGGCTTTAAGAAAATAAGATTCTATTCAGATATTTGTTACCTATATATAGCCTCGGTGAAGATCTAGAAGATGGAGAAATTTTGGAAATAAGTGTTCCAAGACTTAGCACACATAGTACCTATAATTACAATACGAATATAGAGGAGGGGCACTTCAAAATATACTTTAATACTTTTCAATTAAATGGTGACCATAAAAAGTAGGTATTTTAAGCCAAGTATGAATGGAGATGAGTGTAGGATGAGTGGCACGATCTTGTAGTCTTGTTAGTGACTAAGACAGACACTTTCCTTAGACACAGCTGTTAACTAATAGCCCATACAGCTAATGACAACTAAGGGACCTACAGTTTATAGTGGAATCCGAACCACATTTTTGCCTTGGTATATACGAATTGGTCTAATTTTCAGGATAGTACTGCGGATAGTCCTAGTACTCACTCGTGCAGACGTTAATCCACACCAGGGTATAAATAAACAAATATTTGCAAGCTGATGAGAGAATGTTTTTTGAGTTCTTCAGACTTTCAAAATGCCAGTTTAAGTTTTTGTCTAGTTTGATGAATGAAGATTTTAACCCTAGCGCTGGCAAACGCCGGATATACGGCGCGAACGGCCGCGGCCGAAATGGCGACGCCGGATACGCGCCAATGCCGGTGTTTGGTAGGCCTATATATTTTTTTAGTTATGTTACAAATCAGAGTACCCTGGAATTATATATTATATAAGGTGTACGGATTTGTACATGACCAGGGTTGGGTGATTATTTGGTACTAGCGCGGGGGTACGATCGACATAGTAATAGGGCTACCAAACAAAATACACAAAATAAGCTATATAAACTATATATTTTTGGAATCAGCACAAAATTTCCCACAACTTTACAATTTTCCTTATGATGCTAAGTCTTACATGCACTTAGCTATACGACGGAATATAAAAACATTTTATACAAAAATTAATAATGCCCACAATTTGGAAAAACTAAAAAAAAATTTGTTTGTGGTAACCATGTAAATCACCTATAATATTGTTCTTTGTCTTATTCTGAACAAAATGATATACAGGGTGATTTGTACTCAGTGTGACAAAATTTTTTTGATGTAAGCACAAAGTAAATGAAGTGTGATGCATTTCAAATGTTCCAAGTCTCAAAATTAGCGTCTCAAAAAATGATTTTATGTTTTTCAAAAATAACCATGCTTTTAAACTTAATACAGCGATTTCCATACCTGTATATGGATTTGAGTAGATAATGTCATTTTCGTGTTCTACATTAAATTTTGAACAAGAATAATGGAAAATGACGGAGGATCAAGTGTAAAAACTCCATTGTAAATAGATTCGAAGATAAAGATTAAGATATTTTATCAAAATTTTAAAAACAATGGTCTATTGCATTTTTCACACCCTGTATACAAGAAAGTGTCGGAATATGTTAAAAACTGCGCCATTTTATAAGCTTTCCAACCATATGCTACACTATTGAGGTTTAGATATTTTTTTGTTTGTTTTAGTGGTTTGAATACCAGAAAACAGGGAACTTTTTTACTGTTCAAGCTGAATCAAAAATACAACTTTTGCTTAATATATGCCGACCTTCTAAGTTTTAAATGTTAAAGACACCATGTTTTGTAGTCTTAAAACCATTAAAGCGTACATAAGCAGACATAAACCTCAATAGTGTAGCATATCGTTGGAAAGCTTATAAAATGGCACAGTTTTTAACATATTCCGACACTTTCTTGTATACAGGGTGTGAAAAATGCAATAGACCATTGTTTTTAAAATATTTATCAAACATCTTAATTTTTATCTTTGAATCTATTTACAATGGAGTTTTTAAAACTGATCCTCCGTCATTTTCCATTATTCTTGTTCAAAATTTAATGTAGAACACGAAAATGACATTATCTACTCAAATCCATATACAGGTAATTGAGAAATCGCTGTATTAAGTTTAAAAACATGGTTATTTTTTAAAAACATAAAATAATTTTTTGAGACGCTAATTTTGAGACTTGGAACATTTTAAATGCATCGTCACACTTCATTTACTTTGTGCTTACATCAAAAAAATTTTGTCACACTGAGTACAAATCACCCTGTATAACAATCCATAGTTATGTTGCTATTTCTAATTTTTATGATGGTTTAAAAATGATATTACATAATCAATAATATCCCTATGCCAGTACAGAGTTACACTACTGCCAGCTCTAGGGTTAAGATGACTATTTAAACTACATTCCCTCTCCAATCACAAGACATGGGGAAATTGCTCTTGGTAGGATAGTTTATTTATAGCCTACTCGTCAAATTTTTGTATTAAGCTTATGAACTATTAGAATGCTTTAGTATTATTTTTTTCAGACTATAACATGTTCAGTATAATAATATAGTAATACCCCAGTTGCAGCAAACCTGCGTACTCAGGGAGTTTCCAATGCATTTGTGTGTCTTAATACTACCACATAAAGCCAATTAGCAAGTATTGTATCATAAAATGCATTAACAACTAAGCAATGTATAACATTGTAATTATTCTCAATAAGAATAACATCGGGGCTGAGTACACTCGGAGCACTTTCTCGAGAAAAAGCTGTGAATGCCTCAAAAATCGTCCAACGACTGCGACTCTGACTGCTCCAGGAGACCTGTACGATAGACGTCTACGACTATGAGACGACTGCGGCTACAGTAGCGTCAGTGACAACTGTGCCATTGAAAACAATGCAGCAGGCGCTCTACGATTATCGTTCAACGACTGTCGTCCAACGACTGCAGTTCCAGCCGCACCAGTAACAATGCACCTTTAGTCATTGTGTATTTCTACATAGGCCTTTACGAAACAACTTTATGTGTGTTGAAGACTAATATAGCTGAATTTCCACAATATTTCCTATTAAGCTACATAGTGCAATGTCACAAAATCAATGAAAACGAGGATTGTTCTATTTAAGAACTTTTTTGGTTGATCATAGGAAATTCCTTTAAAATAAGACATTTTAGAAAATAAGAAATATTTATTTAAAAGCTATGAAAATGACTGACATTGAGGCAAAAACAAATTGTCAAATCAATTGTACCTGACCATTCTTGACATACTCTGACACGGCTTTGTAAGGTAGTATATGTTGTGACTTGTCTTCTAAGCTGACTTCTTCCTCTCTGTTATCACCATCATCAACAATAACACCTTGAACATTAGAGCTAGCTTTTACAAACACATGACTCTCTAGGTTCGGGTTGATCATGATCTGGTTCGTGTCAAGATCTTGGAGACTTTCCGGCAGACCGACAAACAAAGATTTAAAATGCCCATTTAAATTTGTTACATATTCTTTGGCAAAAGAGAATTCACTAGGAGAAAGATACCGGTCACCCGGATCACGTGTACTTTCATCTTCAAGTATTTTCAAAGCGTAAGTCTCAATCTTATCGATGCGAGTTCTCAAGTAGCTGGTAATTAGGTATCGTATCCTGTCTAGTTCTAATTTGTGCAAGCCCACACGAAAATCGTTTTTATCCAATTTCTTTAGGTTCTCTTCCATATGATGAATTTGTTCCATCATGCAATCCACTTGCTCTATTTTATGGGGAAGTATTTCTGGGCTGAGTTTCTCGTTTAACCATGCTTCTTCGAGAGATTTGAGAACACCTGCTGCAGTTACAACTTCATCATCTGATAATGTTTCGTCAAAACTAATTAGGTCATCCATTCTGAAAAAAACACATTTTTTATTTGGTATCAAATGCACTACTAATTGGGTTTAAAAGATTATAGGACTACCAAGCCCACTGTATCACTTCACCAACCTCTATACCAACACCTAAAAATTACAAAAGATAGACTTGAAAAATAGTAAAATAAAGAATTTGATTTAAATTAACAGTCTATGAAACAAACAGTGTGGCTAATCGTAAATAAAATAATATAGGTACAAAAGCCGCCAATAACCTACCACACCAGCGCCACAGACTTACTAAGTGCCTAGACACTTACTCCTCAAAATAATAAATTTTATCTAAGTTGTCCAGAACCTTGGACATCTTTGTCTTTGAAGAATTTTAACAACTGAACTAATGATATCTCTTTATTTTATTGTAAACTGAACTTTTGTTGAAATCTAGTCAACAAATATATATGTTTCTGTATAGAGAACCAATATTGTACTAAATGATTTACACTCGTTACCAAGCGAGAATCGTGATTAACTCGTGGTAACTCGTTACCAATTGATCGTCAGCAAACATAATCAATTTTGAATTTAAGGTCATGGGCAAGTCGTTGACATAAACCAAGAAGAGTATGGGTCCAAGAATGGACCCTTGAGGTACACCATCTGTAATTAATCTATAGCCTAATCAGACTTAATCCCAGTGACTGCAAATTTCCCTACACTGTTTTCTGTTAGATGGAAATGAAAACAACCATTTGATGGTCCTGCCCGATATACCATTAAACTGCAACTTCCGAATCAGTATATCATGGTTTACACAGTCAAACGCTCTTGACGGGTCACAGAAGAGACCAGATACATTCTGCGACCTGTCAAGAGCATCCGCTACCTCAGATACAAAGCTGAATATGGCATCTACAGTGCTTTTACCCTTTCTAAACCCATACTGAATCATGTTAAAGAGTTGACATTTATTTTAATAAGTAGGTAGCTTACTAAGGTTTGCTGCTTCAGGGAAGGTAGGCCTAATAAGGAGTGTTTTTTTTTATTGATTGATAGCTTATGAAATGAACAAATTCACCAAACCAAAAATTAAATCAGTCCCTGGTCCGAAACTTACCATGAGACCTGTGGTAATAGCTTATTCCCTATATGGAAATTCGCTAAAAGGTGTAAGGGTGGCAATGGGAATGGTGAAGGCTGTAAATACCTGACTTGATACCCCCACCGCAGTAAACCAGCAGACTAAGTAAAATTCCATTTGCCTAGTTGGATTTTCAATTAAATCTACAGTAGAACCTCTTTAATCCGAACTAATTGGGACCGGGGGTAGTTCGGACTATTGAATAGTTCGGATTACAGAACATACTGTTGTTTTTACATAACAGTAGCTAGGGAAAAGTGAAAAATGCTTTATAAAGTAAAATACAGTGTTTATTTAGTACAGTAGTAAACATAGGGAATAAACAGTACTGTACATTACAATTGAAAAAATTACGGTGTATAATCACGCTGTATATCATAAATACAGTACGCCTCTACAATAAAGAACTACTGTATATAGAGTTCAGCAATGAGGTGTTCGGATTAGTGGACATTCGGATTACAGGGGTTCGGATTAAAGAGGTTCTACTGTATTTGAATAGCATTAGGTTTAACAAGTAAAGTAACCTAAGTTTGCTGCTACAGTAAGGGTACGGTAACTAATAAAGTGGGTTTTTTAGTAAAATTGTATAGCTTAATATAAAATAAGTAAATGCTTAAATTTGCGAATTTTGAGCAAATACATCCATAAACAAGCAAACTACAACAGTTTACTTATTCTCCATAAGAATGACATGGGAATTTTAAATTACAAACTTTTTGAATTTTCTCTGTAAGAAATAAGTTAACCCTAAAACAGAGAAAAGGTTTTAAAATGCTTAGTTGAATTATTAACTTTTGATCAGTTCAACTTACCTCCGGTTATTGATATTTCATCCAGTTTATATATACTAATATTTTCAAACGTTTTATTATAAATCACAGTAAAAACTGAAGATAATAGTCCTATCTTTAGTTGTTTTTGAGGTTAGGTTCTTTCTTTCTAGGGTTTAGGTTATATTTACTTATTCTGAAAAGTTAATATCGCTTCACAAGCGCGGGACTTTTTTTTTCTCTAATTGCCGGCTAAAATGTCTTAACCATGCAAATACTGGAAGAGTTTATTATTTTTTTAGCCTATACTAGACTAGCAATCACTTAGCAGGATGATTATTTGAATGACTGATTATTATAAGTTACATTATAATACAATACATTATAATACATATCATTACAACACATATATAACAACACATTATAATATGATACATTATAATACATTATAAGTTATATTATAAGGTAGCACTAATTTGCTTTGAAATTTGACTAATTTAAACTTTATGTGGTTTTATAATAATACTATTAAGGTATTTTACTGAAGCAAACAACATAAATACACAGGGTGAGTTTTAAATGAGGGCTGCACTTTACTTGACGTCCTACACTCTAAATGAGTCCCCCTCTACTTTTTTCTAATTTATTTTTGTAAGTTTACCTAAAAATGTACTAAACTACTTTTTTACATTTTATTTAATTTACAATCTGTTCAACAAAATAGAACAATAAGCAAATATGATAAAATTTAAATACAGTAGTTAGTATTTATCCAACAATAAAACCAACACACGAACTTTTCATATTGGTACAAAAGTTTAAAGTCCACCAAACTCCTAAAAACGACGACTTTATTTTGGATCCAAAACATGGCATCTTTTCAACTAAGTTAATGTTGCCAAATAAATTTAAAGCATGGTAGTTAGTATGGTACTCTAATTTCTTTAAGTATTTGTGTCACTTAACCTTGAAATTTCTTCTTTGTTGACCGTTGGGGTTCGACTGTCCCTGTGAAGCACTTCGTTATTAACGAACCATTGTGCCTGGAGAATGTGCCTTAGAACCTTAGATTGGAATCTTTGGACGACGTTCACATTTTTGATTCACTTGATGACCCCCACAGTTTGATACTATACGTCCACACTGGTTTTAGAATAGTTTTTAATTTAAGCAATTTATTTTCTGTTGTTAATTTTGAATTTTGATTTAATAGCCAAGAAAGATGATAAATTAAATTTTAAATTTAACGAAATTCTCTTGTTCCAGATGTGGCTTTTCCAAATAAGTATTCTGTCAAGGGTCATACCCATTTAACCTCATTGCTCTGTGAGATTTGAACGTTATTTATGGTAACTAGAGGACACGTGTCTAATCTTGTAAAGATATTGTATCCGGACAGATTTACTCTCATTTACTTTGATCCCCCATTTTTAGCCAATCGGAGAGATCATCCGAGTCCAGTCTGTAACATTTGTGAAGCTATCACAGGATTTTCATGAGAGGCTATAAAAACAGTATCATCAGCGAAGGTTGCAATTTCGACATTAGGATTTTCAGGTAGGTCCACCGTGAACAATGTGTAGAGAACGGGGCCCAATACACTTCCTTGGGGAACTCCCTGCCTGTTTGAATTTCGTGAAGTGGGGTAACAATATCACCAAATTTTACTCTGAAGTGTCGATTGAAAAGGTAAGACCTCATGAGATTGAAAAATGTGTGGGGAAGATTGAGTTTTAGTTTGTAGAGTAAACCAGTATGCCAAACTTTGTGAAACTCTTGACTCGTCAATGAAACGACTTAACAGAATACTTTTCCATATTTAACTACTCATAAGGTTGGATTTAAAAATGTATTATTGTAAACATAAACATTAACCGGTAACCTTCAGTTTTGGGACGTGTCTGATAGGTCTGACACACAGCTGGCTGGCGAAAGGCCTCATGAAATTTATTGGTGATATTTTTATTTTAAATTTATATTCATGCACATTATTATTACATCACCGTTAATTTAAGATCCCATACTACGATACTACCAAATTTTAAGTCTATAGCATGTTTCTAAACTGTTCAGATGAGCACACCAAAGTCGACCACTTTTAATGCTATTCCTCATAAGAATAACATAGGGGGGAAATCAAGGCCCCACTAGAAAAAAAGTGTTTCTAGTGGGGCCTTGGGGAAATTCGAGTTTTTGGGGGGTCAAAATTTAAAAATGTCACTTTTCATAATTTTCCTGGGGTTTTGGGCTCAAGATTTACAATCGTGCCAAATTTCAACTCCCTAGCACTTCTAGAAGTGCTCAAACATGTGTATACCTTAGTCAGTTACATATGCAATATTTAGTGTTGTATAGTCAATGCTTCTACCTGCCCCTCTCTGGGTACGCCCATGCTGTAGTTGGTGGGAATCTGGGAACTGCCAAACTGGGAGGGAAAATAGATAGCGCCTTTGCCAATTTAGCCAATTGCCAGGCCTTTGCTTGCGAGCGTTTCAGGGCAGGAATTGGACTAGCCTACTGCGCATGCGCCAGAAAGAACCAATTCAGTTGTACTTGGTCTTCAACGAGTCGACTCATGAGTCATAACTTACTAGTTTATAGTCCAGGCAACGAAAGGATATAGAGGGAAATGTTTGGAACACAATTTCTGACTTCGTAACTTTGTTTAGTATAGTTAGGAGGTTAACATACCAAAAGTCCCCGCCTCTAGCCCTTGTGCTGTGGGGGAGGGGGGGGGGCTTTGAAGGTAAAATTTTTTGGTTTTTTGCTAATATCTCGGAAACCATGCGTCCAAGCGAAATTATGCTAATATACAAAATGAAAGCTTATTAAATTTCCAGCAAGTTTGTAATTTACTATTTTTCGATATCTTTTATAGTTTTCGTGTTATTTGCTATCAAAAGTTTGTAAATTTGGAAAAATATATTTTTTTATCATGTTTTTTGTTCTTTTTGACAAGTTGCCTCTCAAACTATGCACCCTAAAAATAAATGCTGGGCATATGGCTGTAGAAAATTAAATTCCCTTCAATAATATATATGACTTTACTAGTTTACCTCCTTCCCTTCAGATTTTAAAGCAAATTAACCGTCAGTATAAAAAAATTTAATTTAATTAAAATTTAAGAAAATTAAAATCTAGTGTTGAGCAAGGAATTTTAAGTCTTGCAACAGCTGTTGACTACTTAATATTTCAATTTATCACCTTACACAGTCAACTAATTGGTTGCAATATTCACTATCATGTAACTAAGGTGAGTGATGGGCGTCTAAAAATAGCACAGATACCCTATAGAAAATATATACTTGTGGGCTGCCTAACCAGCTTCCTCACACTTAAAGATCTAGCTAGACTATTGTAATGGGAAAATATTATAAAAGTGTCTATATGACACTGGAAACAAATCACAACCATTAAATTTAAACAAAGATAAATTACATATTTAAATGAATTAATATAAAACATTACATCAGAGCCTACTATTCTATCCCTTGCTATCTTAGTTTAAAAAGGAATACCATCCTCATCATTTTTATCCTTTTTTTCTCCATCGGACCGGACCTATTTTGAAAATGGTATACTGTTTTTCTTTATATTCTTAGTCATCTTTCCCAGGGACAACATTTTGACATTTTTGGCATACTAATTTTAGGCTTGCTTTTTTGCTCCCTGATTTTGCACGAGTACAGTTTTATGTGCATAGGCAGAAAACAATTTTGAGAATATCCTTCAGTGTAGTTTCATGCAGTGTGTGCTCTGCTACTACAGAGTTTTTATTATTCTTTCCACTCTTACATAAGAGAAGGCAGGTTATTTCCCAGCCACAGCTGAACCTTTTGGAATGTACATGATAGGAAACTATGTTTAAAAGCACCATCAGTCGGAGGAAGACAAGAGATATTAGGCTTGATGGAGACCGTCGATTAAAAAATTGACTTGTACCTATATAGATTGAGGTTGAAGTGCACGATACCTCTCTCGCTGAAGCCCATATCAAATCAAGATGTACATTTTCCCTACCTTTTGTATTTGGGTGGTGTTGGAGAGGGGGCGTGAAAGACATATGATGCATTTTGGGCCACTGGGGAATTCAGATACAACTTCGCATAAGCAACCTTGCTTTTCTCAAATGCTGAAGATTTTTTGTCACATCCAGTAGAATCGCGTTCAAAATATCATCTAATCCTTGTTAAGATAGTTTATGGTGCGAGAAAAAGATGTCCCTTACCTTCTTTCTAAGAGAATAAGAGGATAAAAACAATTATGAGGATGGTAGTCCTTTCCAAACTAAGATAGCAAGGCTGAATTGATTCAATAGTAGGCTAAGGCTACTCACTAATGTAATGTTTTATGTTAATTCCTACTTAAATATGTCAATTGTCTTGGTTTCAATTTTATGGTTGTGATTGGTTTCCAGTGTCATATAGATGCTTTTATATGCATAAACATGGTTATAACACCATATTTCCCCATTACAATAGTCTAGCTAGATCATCAAGTGTGAGGAAGCTGGTTAGGCAGCCCACAAGTATATATTTTCTATAGGGTATCTGTGCTATTTTTAGACGCCCATCACTCACCTTAGTTACATGATAGTGAATATTGCAACCAATTAGTTGACTGTGCAAGGTGGTCAATTGAAATATTAAGTAGTCAACAGCTGTTGCAAGACTTCAAATTCCTTGCTCAACACTAGATTTTAATTTTCTCAAATTTTAATTAAATTTAAATTTTTTTTATACTGATTGTTAATTTGCTTTAAAATCTGAACGGAAGGAGTTAAACTAGTAAAGTCATATATATTATTGAAGGGAATTTAATTTTCTACAACCCTATGCCCAGCATTTATTTTTTGGGTGCATAGTTTGAGAGGCAACTTGTCAAAAAGAACAAAAAACATGATGAAAAAATATATTTTTCCAAATTTACAAACTTTTGATAGCAAATAACACGAAAACTATAAAAGATATCGAAAAATAGTAAATTACAAACTTGCTGGAAATTTAATAAGCTTTCATTTTGTATAATGGCATAATTTCGCTTGGACGCATGTTTTCCGAGATATCAGCAAAAAACCGAAAAATTGTACCTTCAAGCCCCCCCCTCCCCCACAGCACAAGGGCTAGAGGCGGGGACTTTTGGTATGTTAACCTCCTAACTATACTAAACAAAGTTACGAAGTCAGAAATTGTGTTCCAAACATTTCCCTCTATACCCTTTTTTTAGCATTCGTTGCCTGGACTATTAGTTCAGTTTCAGTTCTGCTTTTTGCTGTTAGCTATGGTTAGCTACCTCCGTGACGATTGACGACTTGAGTCAGTCATCTCTGTCACCCCCATCATCCATTGCATTTATGTACTTTAATACTGACTATGGGAATGGACTAAAAATTGAGTTTTCCCATTTTTTACCCTAAAACATAGTTTTTTATTTTATTTTTCAAGTTATTTTGTGGTACTTGACAAAATTAATAATTTAAACTCAATATGTTCAAAATATACCATGAATATTCCAGAGTACTTTTCCAGAATATTCTGAGAATGTTCTCCAGATTTCTAGGCTATATAAAAATTTTCTTAGAATATTTTTGTTGAGTAATCTGATCTGAGTATATTCAAGGAAATTGCCTGGGATGTTGAGAATGATCAAAAACATTTTGGAAAATTCCAGGAAATCCTATTATTTTTCATGTTGTATTAAACGTTATACTAGTGATGCGATAATCGAGTGAAAAAAAGAATCGATTCTTTCGATTCAATTATTTTAAGAATCGATGAAATAATCGTTTGCGTGAATCGATTCTTATTTGTTAGCTTCCTGTACTTAATTCCATTTCTCTGCAGGTCGATGCATGCCTATGATATTTATCACTACTACTAGTCAGTCTATCTCAGTGGCTAGGTACACACACACACACAGATTTGTTGGTTAGGTGCAAGATTTTGGAAAATATAATATTGTGAAAGTTATTATATTTATTTTTTAAATCACGAACTGTGTTAAGTGAACTTTCGTATTTTCAGTTATGAATAATAATTGAACTATTTCTTAACTTTTAACTATTTGAAATTATGTAAGTTTGTATTATAAAAACATCAATGTGTATTTACAACTAAGAAGTAACTCATTGGAAATATAATTATATTTCTACTTTTTATATGTACTGACAACTATTATATTTTAGGAAACTTTTGTCTATTAGCGAATTTCCCATATAGGGAATAAGCTATTACCGTAGTACTCACGGTAAGACCTGGACCCGGGACCGATTTTTTTTTTCGTTTTGAGGTCCCTAGAGGTCAAAAACACCATCCGTTCAAATTCATATATATATATATATATTTATATATATATATATATATATGTGTCCGTTAGCGCGATAACTCGAGCAAAAATGATCCGATTTTGATGAAATTTGGTACAAACGTGTAAACCTACGTTTATTCGAACGAGTTCGCGAACCAGCATGATCGGACCATGGGAACGGGGGTTTATGGGGGCTTTTATGGGGAAAAAATGGGTTTTTCCCATTTTTGACCCAAAAAACATAAAATTTTGCAATTTCTTTTGAAACTATTTTGTAGAGCTTAAAAAAACAAATAATTTAGTATATTGAAGCGTTATAATGCGCCTAATGGTTACGGAGAAAATTCCAAAAAATTGTAAATTTAAAATTCCCATGTTATTCTTATGGAGAATAAGTAAACTGTTGTAGTTTGCTTGTTTATAAACATATTTTGCCCAAATTTGGAAAATGTTTTTATTTCTTACTAACTATTAACATTTTACATAAAAAACACTTTTACCCTCCCTGTTGCAGCAAACCTAAGTATGTTTTAAACTGATTCTATTTAAATAGGGAATAAATGTGATAATTTTAAGGAGACATTTTAGTGTAAATCCATTCAGGGAAATGGAAATTCGCTTAGTCTGCAGGTTTGCTGCGGCGGGGGTATTTTTTATTATAGTTGTATCCACCCAATTTTATATTAAGCCCAGTAATTTTTATAATTTCTAAAATATCGTAAGATGGAGAAATGCAGACTATTTCTAAGACTCGATTCATAAGCACATGAATCGATTAATCGATCCTCGTTAAAGAATCGATTCATCGATTCTTTTGAAATCGATTCTCCCATCACTACGTTATACGGTATATACAAGTGAGTTAACAAATTTTTAGTTTTTCTCGAATTTGATGTCTGATTGCAATACAAAAACACCAATAAATAATAACAATGGTATATAAAAAGCTGTTGTGTTTACTATTTTATATTTTTGAAAGTGCATATTATGCAAATATTGACTACATCAGAACTTATGTTTAGAAACAAAGTAAAAAATAATTAAAAGAAGTATAAAAAATTATTACAGCTGGAAATAGTGGCATTGTAAATGATCATTCAATTTTAATAGTTTATGTAGAACATTTATTTTAAAACATAGGCTATAAAGTAAATCATAAACAGTGGTAATCACAACAGTCTGTACTATCACACCTCACACTAATAACAAAACATTTTTAAGTCTTCAATGAGTTCACCAGCACCTCAATCAATGACTCTGTAACAAAAAACTGTGTTTTAGCTTTAATTTAATAAACTTGGGCAACACATTCAATGTGAAGCCTACAGCGTAGTTCACACTAGTAAACATATTGAATGTGGTACTGTGGGGTTATTGCATGAAGTTTTGGCTGTTATCTTTTTATTCGTGTCACTATAACATAGTAAAATATACAGTACAATAGACTCCCTCTTATCCAGACTCTCGGGACCGAGGTTAGTCCGGATAATGGGTTTTCTGGTTAAACTGACGTCCCACAAACTCATTAAAACTGACCATTTAAATGCATACTGTATATACAGTATTTGACTAAAATGTAGTAGAGCATTTTATTTAGACTAGTAATCACTGTTCTCATATCCTTAACACAAGAACAGTCGTTTCAGTAACGCTTACCTCCAACTTCCTGCCGACCTAGTCCGGTTAAACCGATGTGCTGATAAAAATTGCCCGGTTAAAGAGATGTAATTTCCACCGAGTGTTGTCTGGTTTAACCGATGTCAGGTTAAAAGGTGTCCGAATAAGAGGGAGTCTACTGTACCTTATCATGGCTATTAAACATGGTAATAATGTTCCCTAATATGCAGCGAGGAATATCAATTTTACTTAGCCTTAATACAAAGCGAAGAAGACTGATTCTGAAAATTACATTGCACTGCAACAGCAATGTTATGGGGTAAAGTTCTGCAGAGAAACTTTAATGTATTATACTATCCTATCAAATTTTCAGTTTCTATAAATTAATAGGCCTAATGACAATTAATAGCTTCAAATTTATATAAAATATGAAGAACCATAAACCATTAACCACCAACCATTAAGAAATAGGCCTGCTTATTAATCCGTTAGCCTATGGGTCTTTTTAAAAAGAGGACCACCCGCCAATCTTTTACAGACCATTGCGGCGTTTAGGTTATGTTATAGGCCTACCACATACAAAAAAACCACGCACCTGTTTGAGTCGTGCATGCAGGACAGCAGGAAAGTCAGAGTGGTGGGGAAAGACACCTCGCCCCAACGACTTATCCCCACCACTGCTCCAGGCCCTTACCCACCATGACCCTTCACCCCAACGTGCGCGAGACAGCGATGGTTCTGCACAGGTTCTTTTGAAAGTGGTAGGCCTATAAGTTTATAAACAAACAAGGTATCATTAACAAAATTTTTAGCTTTTTTCTATAAGCTAAGTTACTCATAAAAAAAAGACACGACTAGGTATAATTTGGCGCTTTTGACAATCAGTTTTGATAGAAAACTGTACAACACTAACCCAACCCAATGATGATGCTATTGGAACAATTTGTATTTATTTATGTGTTACCTGGTTTTTATTAACATAAACTAAACCAAACTGAACTAACCTTGTTTAACCACCACAGCACAGTGTGAAAGTCTATTTGAAAAGACTCTATGTCTTTAAATATTCATATCACGATACCTTTAATACTCAAAACAAAAATCAGAATTTATATCGCAGGGAATAATATAAAGTACGATTTGTATAACGAACTGATATTTCACCCAATATATAGGCCTATTGAAGGTACTGATATTGCAGGCTCTCTAAAGGACTTTACTGCAGTTCTTAATAGCCTACAATGTTTATAGTAGGACATTCTAGCATAAAATGAAGACTGTAAATGTATTGTTTCATCAAAATTACCCCAACTGAAGAAAAAATTGTAGGCCTAGTTATTTTGATCTTTATAATAATATGACCATAACAACCTGTATAATGATTTTTACATCACTAAGTAGAGGGCAGATTGTTTGTTCCTAAAAGTAGGTAACGGCACAACGGTTTTTGGGCGCTACAAATAACTAGCCTACAATTTAATCGTTTTTAAACTTAACGTATATTTTTCTGTCGTTGGAGTTTCAAATAGCATGTTTCTTATGGCCATGTTACTCTAAATAATTTCAAACAAACCGCCATTTAAATTAAACAAACGATGTTTTAATATTCTGACTATTACAACAGCGCGAGGAAATGCCTCTTTCAAAAGGTTACAGCATTCTAAGTTGTTAAGTTAGAGCCTATATGTGTGTATGAGTAGCCTTTATAAAGGCTAAGTATAGCGCTTCAGGAGCGCTTCAACGTCCAACCTCTCCATCTCAGAAGAAAGCTGCACGACATCCTTTTTTAGTTTAAACTGGTCCGTAGTGAGATCGATTCTACCGAGCTACAGGAGGGAATTAATTTCCTTATACTGAGAGGAACACGATCTTCGGATACATTTGCTCACTTGTACTTACCAACTAACTACTCTCTCAATTATTGTGGATTGGCCAGATTGCAGCGTCTTGGAAACGAAGTCGGATCACAAGTTGACTTCTTCAACGAACAGTTGTCTTCCTTCAGAAGAAAATGCTCCAACATTCTCTTTGATATGCCTGTTTTGTAGATGATGTTTGTTTGTTTTTCCTAAATCTCTTTCATTCTTGTTATTCAATTCATAGATTTATTGTTGTTTGTTGTTATTTTTTCACGTAGAACTTAATGTCATCATAGTTTATATTTTGTTAAATCTTGAGGAGATATTTGTTGTTGTTACTTACAAAATCTATAGGCCTATGCTTTTTCTGAAGTCCAAATTAATATAATTTTTTTGTTGTTGTTGTTATTATCTGTACAATACTTTGTTAATGTTATTATCTGTAATTTTTGTCACGTTGTTGTTTTCTTGTTATTATTTTTGTTGCAATGCTGCTTTGTTTCATGGTCATTATGTAACTTATCTTGTTATTTTTTTGTTATCTTTTCATTCTGCTCATGTGCTTAAAACACATAGGCCTATTTTGTAAATGGTGTATCCGTTGATATGAATAAATAAATAAATAAGTATAATGTAAAGAATGGGTACTTTCCTGTTAAAGGGAACATTCATTATTATAGAAAATTTCTTTTCGAATATCGAAATTTTATTTTTCTGTCCGTTAAACAGCCATTCCCCATGCCTTTTCTGTTATTTAACGGAATTTAAAGTCTGCCAAAGAATGGGAGATCCAATATAATATAGTAACCTACTAGGGTACTATAGTGTACACCCTAGGCCTGTCTATTGATAGCGGAACCTAGCCTTGCCCTACGCCAGAGTAATGCAAAGCCTAGCCAAGGCCCAAGTTATTTTAATGTTAGTTAGTTAGCCTACACATTTAATTGGCTTAAGGACCATATTTAGTCTACGGCATAGACTTTTTTCCAAACAGTTAACTTAATGGTTTACAGGCTATAGGTTTAAATGTGTCAACCTTAAGATTAAACTTAGCCTTTAAACATCTCACCCAACGGTTTCTAATATGAAAGTTACACCGCTTGGTAACTTATTTTGTAAGTGCCTTTAACCACACAGCCTAGACAGTTCTTATATAATTATAAGATTCGTCCTTTTGCAATGTTTATGGGAAATGTCGGTAGTCCTAACCATGTCCTAACTGTGTGACCGCTACAGGGGTACAGTTTCTTAACTGGGCTACGCTAATATCGATTGGAACTATCGAATTGAAATATTGATTAATAATCGATATTTTAAAATATAATATCTATTATAAAATTAATCTATCATAACCTAACCTAACCAACCAAACTTGTTGATGGTGAAAAAATCGCAGTTTACTAATCGAATCGATAGTTTCAATCGATATTAGTGTAGCCCAGTTAAGAAACTGTACCCATTGTTTTATTTGGACAACACTTGGAACAAAACACAACAAACACTTTTAAAGTCTACAGTATAAAAACTAACTTACAAGGGTGCACGGGGCTGGCACGGTAGAACGCATAACAATAAACACTCTTTTATACTTTTAAATCCGACTTCAAAACATACGATACTTCGATAAAACCTCAAATTATTTAAAAAAAAAACACAGCTTAAACACTTTAAAACTTTGAAAACTACAATCGCTATGGGGCACGGCAGGGGCAGCCGGCAGACAGATGAGATGACAGAACGACAGAACAGTAAACAACTCTTTTGCTTAAATTGTGTGAGAGTCGTTCATTTGAGATCAGCTCAATTTTACGGTTTGCGCATGCGCAGTAGGCTAGTCCAATTCCTGCCCTGAAACGCTCGCCTTTGCTTAGCCAGACGACATCAACAACAGGAACAGCCAACAGAGTGAATCAAAATTCAAAATCAACAGAAGACAGAAGGAGAAGACTGTTTCCGTCTTTTCTTTCTCTACTCTAGTCGTCTAGCATTTGTTATCTTTAAGAAGTGTCGGGAGAGCTTCGTAAAACTGTCTTGTCATTTCATGAACAAGCAGTGGAACAGCCTCTAGCAGTTGTACATCAACACTCTTTCTTTAGTTTCTGGGTCTGCTGAAGGCTTCATTATTAAAATTCTGAAAAAATCATAATAGTACACTTGGGCTCGCTTAAGTTGGGACGAGGCTGCTATAAAAGGTTGGTCTCTGGCTAATAATTCCAGATTTTTTTTAGTTAGTTTAAGTATTAAAAATTGTGTTTAGATTTTAGATATACGCAGAGGATAGGCCTACCGGATTAGGCGTACGGCAGTTACTGTCATAACCTAACCTAACCAACCAAACTTGCTGATGATGAAAAAATCGAATGTAGGTTAAATTCTGTTCATAAAATTATAAATACAAAAAATTCTAACAGTTAAGAAGAAGGGTAGTTTCTTAACTGGGATAGGCCTATGCTAATATCAATTGAAACTATCGAATTGAAATTATTGATTAATAATCAATATTTTAAAATAGGCTATATCAAAAATGTATTATAAATAAAATCTATATCTATAAAAGAGGATGTTTGTATATATATTTGTTTGTTTGTTTGTTTGGGGGTGATAAACTCGGACACCGCTGAACCGATTGCCACGAAACTTGGTACATACGTGTAGAATGTCATGGAATAGGTTTATACACCATCAATTTCGTGATCCGTCCAATAGGCTCCGCCCCAGTGGCTCTGGAGTTTCCCATGTTAACCTTATGAGAAATGGAATTAATGAATCTTAACAGCTGTTTCAATTAAACAAGTTGGTTCTGTTCTATGATGTTCAATAGCATTAAAGTTACAAGGATTACCAACAGGGTGCAGCACTATTATTTCTTTTACATTTATGACAACAGCTAATTTGCAACCAAAAAGGTGAGTGAGCGTAGCGAACGAGCTAACCTGAAGGCAAGTGAGCGCAGCGAACGAGCTCCAACCTAAAGGTGAGTGAGCGTAGCGAACGAACTTCAACCAGGACGTGATTGAGCCATGCGAACGAGATCATCTTGAAAATTAAGAAGTTAACCCTTAGAGTGCCAGGCGAGAAATAAAAGTAACGCTCAAAAAATGCCGATGATTTTTCCCGAAGGTCGCGCTAAAAATGCCGAGCGCGATCTGGCGATTTTTAGGTTAAAAATTTCGTAAAAATTGAATTTTCGATATTTCGACCAACGAAAATCGATGTATCGCATCTAGTAACTTTCGACTCAATGTTAATGTATGGGTTAAAAGAATCCGAGTATCCATTCGGTTGTTATGACAAGTGTTCGATCATTACGAAACGTCCGGTCAGCCGGACGTTGGCACTTTTGGCTCGTTCTAAAAACGTCCGGTCGGCCGGACGTCGGCACTTTTGGCTCGTTTTAAAAACGTCCGGTTCCCCGGACGTTGGCACTCAAAGGGTTAAACGGGGCAAAGCCCGCGGGTTACAGCTAGTTAAACTATAAAATTAAACTATCATAACCTAACCTAACCAACCAAACTTGCTGATGGTGAAAAAATCGCATGAAGGTTTAGCTTACTAATCGCATCGATAGTTTCAATCGATATTTGCATGGCCCAGTTAAGAAACTGTACCCGAAATGGCATTCAAAGCAAAATCTTTTGACAAAAAGTTACAATCACCGATGGGATTAAAACCAGGAACCTCTTGCATATCAGCTGAGCACTCTATCCACTACACCACTAACACCAATGGCTGTACACCAAACACCGTATCGTTGGGGCAATGGCGTTCTGGGCCCCCACACCACAACCCGGTGACGTCACTGCCGGACGCCTAATCTACGCCCTGTTACTGGATGCGTATCCTCGGTGTTAGATTTAAGAGTGTCGCCAGCAGTAAGTTGATAGGCCTAAGTTATTTAGCTTGCCTTTCATAGCCTAATCCCTAGCCTTGGTCATTTAGCTCTCATTGGATTCAACAGGTTAGGTTGAAGCAAGGCCCCACTAGAAAGCAGGCCATGCTGCAGGATCCATGACGTCACACTAGTGGATAGATTTCATTGATAAATTCATTGCCATCACAATTCCCAATTGTTTTAGGTAAATAAACAAGCTGGTTGATTGTAAGATTTTAATGGTAAGAGTTTATTATCACAACTATCCACCACTGTGACGTAGTGTTGCGCTGCCCGTGCTGCAGCATGGCCTGTTTTTTCTAGTGGGGCCTTGGTTGAAGCCTAATAAATGGACATTTAACTAGGCTAAATTGAGTGTCTACTAGGGATGAGCATTAATAGTTCATGTTTTGAAAATCAATGTTTTTCTATCATTCGGTTCGAGGTTTTTTACATCGATAGTAGCCCAGCCTAGGTTAAGGTACACCACGAACTGGACTAAGTTAGACCTAGAGACAAGTGTAACTAAGGCCTAGAGTGAGGGAAATAGGAAAGTTAGGTAAACTACATTTCTGAGGTTCTTGTTCTACTAAAAATCAATTTAAGTTATATGGTATTTGTTTACTCTAAGTTAAGGGGCTTCTAACGAATCTTGAAAAAATGTTTTTTTCCTCATTATTTGGCCTAGCCTATTTTCAACACTTTTTACATTATTTGGCACTTTTGGGGCAAACGCCTATTTCACCCTGAAAATCGTGTTTGAAAAATGCAAAAAATCGGCATTAGCCTAATTTTTACTTTTTATTATTTTTTTAATACTTTTAATGGGTTTTTACTAACTTATTATTTAGGATATTTTAAAGGCTCCACTTCATTAGGCTACCTATCTGTCCTACACAACTTATTCGAATGAAAAATATCGATACGGTATATATCCTAAGTTAGATTATTCTAAGTTATATATTGATTATTTCATTTGGTTAGTTAGGTTAGGTTAACCCAACTAACCAAACCTGATATATCGAGTGAAGTAGAACAGATAGCCTACTAAAGTGCAGCCATTTTAAACACTTTTCCCCTCTGGCACTTTTTTGGCAGTTTTTTAATGATTTTTCAAAGCTGATTCTGGGTAAAAACAGCAGTTGCTGAAAAAGTGCCAGAGGGGAAAGTGAATGTTAGTTACCAAAGCCAATGATAACTAAGGGACCTACAGTTTATAGTGGATCCCGAACCACATTTTTGCCTTGTAATTAATAAATTGTCCTAATTTTCAGGATAGTACTACGGCCTTTGTCAAAGTGTTCATAATGGGTCAATAAAATATCTAGCTAACTTGCCTAACCTTCAAGCTTATTTTAGCTTCAATGTAAGTTTAGTAGGCCTACCTACTTGAGTGTAGGGCATTAAATATATTTTGGTAACATATAATTTAGGCCAAGTTTATTATTTTTATAACATCGTTTTTAGTACCGTAGCCTATAAGTTAAACATTTAAGTTATTAAGCCAAATAAGGAACATTAAATTAGCATTTTGAATTTTCCAGTTTTTCACCAGATATTTATTTATTTGCTTTACAATATATAAATTTGTAAAATATCCACCATCACGACTGATATTGTTCCAGTTCAGTGTTCACAAATGTCAGTCCAAAGCTTGCATCTGAAACATAATTTTATTTAATTAGGCCTAGTTTAGTGTGACAAATGATTTTACACAATTTGTATGCACTATTACACTATTATCATGCATATATAATGCACTACGGTATTATCTCCAGTAAAAAAATGTATAGGCTATATATACACACCTGAAGGGGGGGGGTTGCCCTCTTCGTCCCCCCAGGATCTGCCACTGACTCATGAGGGGGGTAAAATTGTGGCCCGTAAACTACTATTTTAAAATTTAATTTGTTCTAGTTAAATTCACTACTGTAAAAATCTAGTCCAGGTAGGCTATACTGATGTCGGTACAGTAAATCCAATGTTAGCTTATTCAACTCATGATGCTCAAATAAAAAGTTTGAGGGCAGAAGTTTACCCCTGTTGGCTGTGACGTCACTTTTGCTCTGGGGGTAAGATTCTATTACTCCACACACACACAAACCACTTTTTTATTGGGCTCAGGGGGGCCCAAAAACTGATATTTTCATCCAACACTCAAACTCATAAATTTTGATTTGAACAATTGCCTACTTTCTCTAATAAATACTATGTAGGCCTATGGGAGGAAGTAAAAAGAAATTGGCAATGTCAGGATCTTTTTTAATGTAGTCTAATATAAGATGACATTAAAACTTCATAAGTCTATAAATATAGTATAATACCGGCTGTCTGTCCCAAAAAGAACGGATCAAAAGTAAACTGATATGAACACTTTATTCTTAAGGATAAAAAGTTAACTTAATATACATTTTATTTCTTAACATTCTAAGTTTTTCCTTACATTATTTCACCGCCTAACCTCTACATGTTCTCCGTTGTTCGCTCGGAGAAAGTCAAGGTGGCCTTCAAGCTCAGACCACACATTGTGTCGCATTTCATTGGATTTTTTTTCCTAAGACTTCCCTCATTTTGCTTTAAGTTCATCTAAGTTTGAGATCGGCAAGTTATACCCTTGATCTTTCACAAAGTGTAATATCTTGTGAAGAACTCTCTGAATACTACTAGATACATTTAACTCACGTTCAGCAGTTTGAAGGGACTTTCTTGGGCTTTGAAGATATGCATCTCGAATGCTGTCAACAGCTTCATTCGACAGTCGAGGCCTACCGTAACCTTTTTTATGGCCGATGTTTCCAGAATCCTTAAACTGCCTGTACCATCGCTGGATACTGTTTCTGGATGTTGGATTTACATTTTATACAGTCCGAAATCTTCTTTGTACTTTAACCACTGATTTAGTCTCAATGAGGCCACTTGAGGCACTGTGCTTTTAACTGCACATTCATAATGCAACTGTGAGGTTTGTTTATATTTTGAAAGTTCAAGCGTGCTCACAATAATGAACAGCTGATTTTTGTTGAAACATACTAAAAAAAACTTAAAGATGTCAGCTTTAAAATAAGCCATGCTTGACTTTCCTACGACCCTCAATAACACACATATTAAGCCATAGAAGATTTGATCCATTTTTTTTGGGACTCGGTGTATTACTCTCACTTATTGTTAGAAGAATATAAAATAAACATATTTAAGTATTAGGGCCTACCTTTGTTTTGATATCAATAAAAGTACTCTGCACTCTTTTTCTTAGTTTTTCACCAACTTCTGCATAGTAAACACTTTCAAACTCCTCTTCATTCATAAACCGAGATATCAATAATTTTGCTTCAGACCTGAAAATAAAATTTTTATTAATAAGACCCACAATAGCAAGTCACCTTTGATAACAAGTGTAATTTTCAAATACCGTTGAATTTATTTTACCTCTAATTTACATGTTATTGCAAACATCGATAAGAAGTCAACAATCTATTTAATAATCCCCATGAGAGTCTTGTTATCGAGATTCTGCGGTAGTTTATTTGTGTTTGAAATAATAATTCCTTCTTTACTGATTTAGAAATGATTTCTATATTGAGGGTGGATGCTTAAGCCCCTTAAAAACCTTAACTTACAGTAGTTGTGAATTACCTGACATTAATGTTGCTGTCTGCCAGCAGCAGTGCCCCAGTTTCAATGATTCGTTTGCACGTATCCCTCAAGTGTGGGTGAGTCAGAATTGTGTTTGGAGTTTTCAGAGCTACAACACAAGATAAGAGCCTTGCCGTTGCTGTCCGCACTAGTGGGTTGTTATGTCTGAAAAAGTTATTCAAGGACTCAGTTATTTAGAGCTATTATGGTTTTGCAAATAAGTAAATATTCATTTAATCACGCCATTTTTTATGTTCCGCCTTCTTATGAATCCAAAATCCTATTTCTTATACAATTATTCCACCCTGAATACTCAAATACCATTAATGGCAAATAATAAATAAATAGCACAAATGCCTTATTAAAATTGCATCTCAGAAAGAGTCCACAAATTTCATCAACTTCCATCTGAGCCATCCTCATCCTCCAGTTGTTAAAAGGCTCCTCCACCAAGCTTTGCCTCACCTACCAAGATGAGATTTGGACCCTTGATCTCCTCGCTTGAGTAACAATGCCTTAGACTTTAGACTGTTCTGCCATTGATCAAACTAAACTGCACAGTAAACACAATACACTAGCATAGTGGTTCATGTAGGTTGTAGCAAATGTGAGATACGATTATTATTTTCATTGAGTTATGTTTCTCCTTGCTTAACTGTTCCGTAAGTGATTTTGTTATGTTACTCTTGTCCGGTCTATCAAATTTTAAGGATTCAAGTCTATTGTCACTCTATTAAGTATAGGGCATTTTAAACTCAAATCTATATGTATAAAATCCAATGTATGCATGTTTGTTTGTTTGTTTGTCCTTTATGGACTCCGAAACCGCTCTACAGATTGCAATGAAACTTTCAGGCATTATTAAGCATTATTCAAGGATGGTTTGTGTGAAGTTTGGTGCAGATCCGTCAAAAGGGCTCCACCCCAGTGCTCTGGAGTTTCCCATGTTAACCTTATGAGTACTTGTATTTAAATGGGATTAAAGAATCTTAACAGCTGGTTCAACTAAACAATTTGATTCTGTCAAGTTCAATAACATTAAAAAGTTAATAGGTTTACCAACAGGGTGCAGCACTATTATTTTTTTAAATTTATGACAACAGCTAATTTGCAACTAAAAGGTGAGTGAGCGTAGCGAACGACCTTTAACCAGGACGTGATTGAGCCATGCGAACGAGCTCATCTTGAAAATGAACGAGCTTTTGACATAAAACCACATTAGGAAAGGACAACGTCTGTCGGGCCAGCTAGTTTATTATATTTTTTTAGCTTGACCTTAGCAAAATGGTTTTAGTAGTTTTAGCCCTGGTATGAATCTAGAACATTAAACTGCATCAGCACGGATGAAATACAGTATATCATACTCACATTGGTCCTTTGTCCACAATCGGCCGCACTGCTTGTGTTGTCTGAATGTATGTGACCATTTTATCTAAGGCGTCATTGGCGTACAGTCTGATTTCTTTATTACTGTCAGCTGTTCGGGCCAGTAGTGAATGAACAATTTCATCAAATTCCTTTAAATAATGAACAAAATGACAATCAAATGAAGCACTGTTAAAAATAACCAAAGAAATAATATTCATTTGTTCTATATTTTTTGTACGATTCTCTCTAAACTCCTTCCTTGCTCTCCATAATGATTGTTTTTATTTTTTCCCATTTTTTAATGTTAACCTTGTAAGACTGAGTTTTGTTAGGCTGTTGAAACCAAACCCATCTAATTATTCGTTTTGTACCTTTTCTCTATACAACTCAATTTACTTTAAAAACATGCCTACATGACGACTCCAGAATAAAAGAGAAGTTCTCATATAGGTACTACCACAGAAGACTTCAAAGTATAATTAATAAAAGGATACCACAACAAATTTATAACATTAAAAACATTTCCAAAATACATGTACGATCTTCCAGCATTTACAACAAATTATCATTTCTCAAATGGAAAACTTTTTGAAATCATTATTTTGTCATAGAAAATCTACTAGTTTGACAATTAAGTCTATTTTACACTTACAATAGGATTAAAACTATAAACGTAATTCAGATTAGTGTTGTGACTACTTCTGCAAAACTGGTTCCCATTTTAATGTATATACAAACCGGCCGGCAAGTTGAGCGCATGTGTGCGAAGAACTCGCGTGATGCTTGGCAAGCAAACATGGTGATGTGCGGGCGGTGGCCATGAAGCAGACAGCTGATTGCTCGGTACACGAGGCTCATGTGGGGCTCCAACTCATCTGGATATGAGTGTGCTAGTTGGAGGCATTCCTCCAAACCTGCTTTCTTTGTCTGCCTGAAAAATTATTAAGAATCGTCATTCGTTATTCAGCTTGACAAATTTTGACTAGCCTGTCAAAGTTCAAAACGACCATTGCCAGCCGAATAGAACTGTGACTTCAGATCATCTGTGTAAAGTTATAGAGAACTAACTTAAAATCATTTAAATCTTGATGTAAAGAAACTGGATGGGGCTTTTAAATGGACGTATAGTAGACTAGGCTGCTTATAGTATGTCTGTGGGAGGAACTGTCAATGTTTGAGACTAATACCCTAAAATTGTTTGTATCACACACTAACTCCTCAATGATCCACTGCCGACCTGGCAAAAGCCTCGCCTCAGTATTAAGTGCTGTGAACAAATGTAAAAGGCCTGCAGTGCATATGGACATAATGGGTGCAGTTCTTACCAGTCGCTCCTGTTGAGTTTAATGGCAGCCAGCCTTGCAACATCTTCCGGATGTTTGTCAAGCTGTTTTGTAGTCAGTAGGAGATTACCCATATGAGCGGTTCTGGAACGATAAAACGTTATTTTTTTTAACATTAATCTTTATTTGACTTTATTTTAAAAAACAATTTTTTATCATATAGTAAAACATAATGTATAATCTTATAAAACGAGTCAACATGATTAAAAGTAATTGTGTTCATGCTAACAAACTCTATTCAAACTCAGTTTTATGTAAAAACAGTGATTTATGGATTCCTAAAAAAAATGAGAAGTAACCTATAAAAAAAAAAAAAAAAACCACTTATCCTTCCCAGCCTCACCATTAGGTTTTATTCTTTTCTGTTTGTATTGAAGTTTTCCCCTTAATGCCAAGATTCCTCCCAAAAAAAACGGCAATCTTAAATATTGACTTTGACAAAAGAATTTTTTATTTTTGCTCTTCATATTTTGTACTAAAATCCTAGAAGGTCTATCAGTGATTTCTTGGCTGATTCTATAAATTTTACCTAAGCAAGCAAGGTTTATATAATCCTGGTATCTAACAAAGATGATCAGACTTCATGTAAAACCATAAAATTTTTGTAAATTCATGACTACATTGTAAGTAATTTAAAAATCTCACTACTTTCTTTGCTATTGAAAGACTGTACACATATTTATCTGAATTTGAGTACCTACTTAACGTAAGGACTGTAAGTACAAACATTAATTTAGAATTGGTTTTTGTCTGTGGAAGTTTGTTTTTCAGTCTCAGTAGTTTTTAACTTACATATTGCTCTTGGAATGTTTAGTTGAAGATAGTCTTCCCATAGAGTTAGGCACGTGTACTGGGGGAAGTCTTGCCACTGGTTTTGAAACAGTCTGGAACATTACACGCAAACAGCCTAGTTTCATATAGTCAGCGTCTGTCGTATATACAGGGTCCTTAAATATTCTGGGAATGTTTCATTTTTCGAACTATCCTGATAATGAAACTAAACTTAGCCACATAAGTACCATACCTAAAAATATACTTTTTGGAGAAGCAATTATGAACTTTTTTGTCATTTTGTGGATGTAGGAGTCGGAAGAAAATCTTAAACGAGAGTCTGAAGGCGGTGATTTGAAATTTTGGCTGGGGTGAAACTTTGAGTTTGGGCACAGTGTTTCCCTAATAAAGACCTTTCATTTAATGTTATACTCAACCTATGCTCTCAGTTAAGATTTCCTTCCGACTCCTTGTGGACCATCCCCAGTTTGATTTAAAAAAATTGTGATTTGCTTAAATAGGATAATTTTTATGTATAATTTGCAATACTAAAAAAATGAAAGGTCCCAGAATTTTTTAGGTCTTTTTTAGCCAGATGTATGTGTTGATTTTGAGTTGTTACATCAAAGTTCTTAACACCTCAAAAATTCACATTTAGTAAGGTTTATTTTATTGTTGTACTTATTTTAAATTTGCTACATAGCCTTTTGGATTTGCTTCTTTCTGATTGTTTACCAAAGAAATTTATTTTAAAATGAATAGGTATCCAATTAGTTAGGAAGTACCTAGTAGCTCTTTTAAGTTCCTTTTAACCAGTAAAGTATAATCACTGATGAATTTGTTAGGTTATCATTAGACATTTTAATCATACCATACTCCAAATAATGCAAAATAAAGATGCTATATTGTATTTACCGATGCAATCACAGAATCTGACATTCTACTGAGTGCTTTGCCATCATTTGCTTTAAACAGCTGTTCCAACTGGTAATGGGGACGGGGTTGTGATATAGATGGCAGAGGACCTGCAAAATAATGAGTTTAACTTATCAGTTAGCCTAGTTTAAATAACTTCCACAACGGTAAACATTTTTGCAGCGTTTACGTTTGATTCTTTGTCCTGTTCAGCTAGCTTCCAGGTTATGATTGTTGTTTTAGACGTCCCTTCAAGAAAGGGAATTTCCTATAGACTTATAATAAAAGGCAATTTCATTTTTTTAATATTTAACTTTTTCCAAAATTTTAATTACTCTAATTTATTTTAACACTCAGGTTTATATTTTTAAACTTAACAAGCTTAGGAGCCAATTTCAGAAAAGTTTGTCAGGCATTAATTTTGTTCTATATTATATTGTTGTGACCATATTATACTGTTTTATGTTCATTGGGCTATAAAACATCTCATTTGTTCATGCCATAGTCTGTTTGATGGAACCTGTCCCCTGACCCTCCGTCCACCCAGGTCTGGACCGAACCTTAAACCATTGGCCAGCTTCCAGGTAGATCTCCAGTCAGAAGACATGTTCCATCATACAGAGTATAGGCCCTACAATACTAATATAAAGTCAAATTGTTGATGCCACACATGTAGCCAGATCATATTCATAAAATACATGTTTAATTAGTCGTCTTAAGTACTCTAGCGATTTAATGCTAGTAATGGTCTCTAAAAAACTTACAGCATTTTCCATTGTTTTCTGAATTTTCTTCTCGCCTCTTACCATCAATGAATATTTCAGGCTTTTGAACTTCTTCATAGTATCCTAAAAAATGTTGGTGAGCATCTTATAAATAACAATAACTATTAACTTACACCTAGACTGGATAAATGTTTACTACTTTTTAAAATTACAATAAGAATAAATGAATAAAAGTCAAATAGGATCAAATAGGATTTTAACTAGGGGGCCTTTAATATGAAACATTATTGTACAAAAAATATTAGTTTTATGGTGTCTGTGCCTAAACCTTGAATTAATTCTTGGTAGACAATATACGAAAAAATGTATGTACCGTAAGTTATCTTAGCAGCAGAGTTGTTACTACAATAAAGTATTCACTAAAGAGAAAAGTCGTTATAGCATATCATTTTCATTCTGTTTGTTGTTTTTTTAGTCTTTTTTTTGTGAGGACAAAAAACTAATTGTACTTTCAACAGAAAATATTTTATTACCTTTTCCATTACACATAGAGCAGACAACTATCTTTTTTGGGTTCTTAGTACTTCCCATTTCAGTACATGAATTATCCTTTTCTATTTTTGGTTCTCCTTCCCCATTCATTCCTTGGTATCCCTGTGTAATTGCCTGTTCTTGAATGAACTGCCCCTCTCCCATCGTTATTTGCTTTTCTCCGGACAACTAGAAACAAAATAAAAATTAGTAGCCTAGATAATTAGTTAAATTTCCTGATAAATTGCTTTCTTTATCTGTATTAGTTAAAGAGAGTTGCAAACTATTTTTTATATCAGAGGTTTGTAGGATAAGGAATTTTAGGTTAAATCTTGACAGTTACAATTACATTTTCTTTATGTAGGCCTATTGTAACTTACTTAAACCTTACTGCTAGATTGAACGTTTTATACGCACCATGATATTAAACTTGAAACTCTAGACTAAAAAACTTTAAAAAAATTTAGAACTTTAGATTTTTAAGAACTTATTAAAACTTTATTACATCAAAATTTTATTTCTCTGGCATAACAATATTATTTTTAGCAACAATCTGAAAATCACACATGGTAAATTAGAACATATGGTTTTGAACTGTAAAATGTTATTTACATTTTAAGTATTTAATTTAACCAATGATTATAGAAATAAAATCATTTCAGTAGTATTATTGTTAAGATTATAATAATAGCAAAAGTAGCATGAAGCCGTGTTATTGTAAATTATTGTAAAATATGAAAATATGTATAAAACAAATCTTTACAATAATGTTAAATAACCAATAACCACCCATTGACTTTATTTCATGAATTAAAAGCTTAATACTCAATTTCATAATAAACTACAAACTAATATTATTAGTAAATCAGCTGATCGTCCAATGCAAATCTTATGGAAATTACAAGTTACAAGTTGTAACTTGTAGTTTATTATGAAACGGGCCCCTGGTTCCAATTTAAAAATAAGGTAAACATTCAACTCAATATTTTAACTGCAATTTTGTGTCATATTTTGTGTTTTTTGTTTGCATACAATCACATGATGTCAAAATAATATTTTTATGTAACTATATTAAATAATGAATAAAAATCTTTAGTTCCTTAATTCTATGTACAGAATGACAAAAACATTATATGAACTTACTACGTGAAAGAATAAAAGCCTCTAACTAATTTTTGTAATTTTTTTTAGAGATCAGAAATGGAGCCGATGACATTAGGATCACCTGTGGGAAGTCCGGGAACTCAGAATCCTTCGTCTCCGTTTTTGCCAGGTTTTTTGATGGGGGACCCTGCACCTCAACCAACCAGTCCCACCAAGACTCCCCGCCAAGTTCACTTTGCCCCTACCACTGCGGGGTTATCCGCTACATCACCTCTGACTCCGGGACCAATTGGACCCACTTCACTCAACGAGAGTTTTTCTAGGTAAGAGTCATATTGGTACCGTAAGAGTTTTAATTTTTGGTTTTTGTATCTGTTGCATTTTGTATGAAAGATTCACACATAAATTTTAAGGGAAATTGGAGAAAATCATTGAATTTTTATTGATATGCTGGGGGTTAAATCTCTCTTGCTACAAAGACCGAGACGCTAATCACTAAGCATATTCTTCCTCCCATACAAGTAATTGTAAGCCTTTTACATATTTTTCTATGACTTATCGACGTCAACTACAGTATATATTTTTACTGTGTGATGCTGAAAGTTGTAATGTGTAGTACGGTAACTGATTCAGGTCACTTGTATTGTGCTAACAAAGCATCTGGAACCTATGTATGAGGACTGTCCGAAAATGAAGATTTCCAATGAGGTCCAACTGCGGCCAAGTGAGATATATCAAATAATATGACATTAGTGCTTAATTACTATTTCTTTCCTAACCACTATTCTAGTTCCTAATTACTACCTACTAGTTCTAGAAATATTGGGAGGAAAATTCAGTGCCTTTTTTCCTCAGATCGGTCATTTATCAATTTGTTTAAGGTAGTGATTAAAGTTAAGGAATTCTTGCTTAAGAATTAGCCTACTGCATGTGTAACTCTGTCCTGAACAAGAGATTATTTAACTGATAAGATAATAAGGACAATGGTAAACCGTAGTAGTAGTAGTCTTAAACATGCTGATCCATATCTGCAAGCTTAGGTTTCCTTAATTTAATCACTGTATAAATACTGTTCAATGAAATGGCGACCATACATAGTAGGTAGGTATTTTAAGCCAAGTATGAATGGAGATGAGTGTAGGATGAGTGGCGCGATCTTGTAGTCTTGTTAGTGACTAAAGCTGACATTCCTTAGACGCAGCTGTTAATTAATAGCCCATACAGCTAAATGGCAACTAAGGGACCTACAGTTTATAGTGGAATCCGAACCACAATTTTCCTTGGTAGCCTATATACGAATTGATATAAATGACCCTGATGGACACCTACTGCCAGCCTCATGGTGCAAATGTTTGGGCATAGCCTTCTGTTAACCCTCTAGCGCACCATTTTCACGTCCATACCCTTTTCCCCAAGCACAAAGCCAAAGTACAACAAGATAATTTGAAACTAAACCATTTTTCATTTACAGGTTTCACAAAAACCAGAGGGAGAAGTCCGGGGGGCCTCCTACTGTAGGGTTGTTTGACACGTTAGACGTGACTGCTTCTGCCCTACCCCCCTCCACCCCCACCACCCCATATGAGCCAAGCGCTCAGCTGATGCACACACCACAACAGAGCACAAACCAATCGTGAGTAACATGTTTTATTTTTGACTTTAGGACACTAGGTAGCCTTTTCATTCCATTGTAAAACCCAAAACCTGATTGGTGTTTGTTTTGTGGTGCAGACTCATTTTTCTCTCTTATTTTGAAGCAAAATTTTACAGTGTGTGCTGTACTCTCCCTTTGATTTAAACTCTTTGGTTGTGATACCAGAGGACAAGTTGTAGTTAGTTTACTGTTACATGAATAACTTAATGTACCAACTAACTATAACTCAGTCAAATAACTGGCTGTTCCAGACCATTTATAAGGGCTTTGTCATGGATCTAAACAGTTTTATATTACACACCTTGTGCCTTTGTGAAACCATGTGGTGGCTATTTTTGTATGTAACGTCTGCTATGTACTGGCGGGCATGTGTTCAGAGGTAGAAAGTTTGAAACTAAGTATTAAAAATAAAAACAGACTAATAATAGTGATTCAAACCATACTCTTACTTCATAAAACAGGTAGGCCTAACAACAATATTTTCTCTCATTCAGTAACTCTTTTAGTAGGCCTTTTTTAAAAACTAATTTCAAAAGGTATTTTAAAATTTTAGTGGTTATTTATTATAATAGGTAAAACCCATAATATGTTGAATTTAAACAATAGAAATACAAGAATACCCCTGACGTAGCAAACCTGCAGACTAAATGAATTTCCTTTTTTTGTCTTTTATATTTTCACTTACAAACTCCTTTTAAATGTTTAGATTTATTTCCTATTTAATTTAATAACATCAATTTTAATAAATACTCAGGTTTGCAGCTACAAGGAAGGTAATAAAGTGTGTTTTTTATTACAAATTTAATAGCTTAGTATCAAATAAACAAATTTGTCAAATTTTAACAAAATTTTATATAGACTACCTCTTAGAAGAAAACTACAACAGTTTATTTATTCTCCATAAGAACGACATGGGAATTCAAAATTACATTGTTTTTCTTTCTCCGTAGTTATTAGGAGTACCGGTACAAAAATGCTTCAATATACTTAATTTGTTTTATAAAAGCTCCAGAAAATAATTTTGGTAAAGAATTGCGAAATTTTATGTTTTGGGGGTAAAAAATGAGGAATACCTATTTTTTTACCAAATAAAACACAGTTCCCCTAGTTAGATCATGTTAGTTCGCAAACTTGCTTAAATAAATGTAGGTTTATCTGTTTTAAAAAATTTGCTTAGAATTAGTCAATTTTTATTTTGGCTATCTCCACAATTTTCAATGCAAAAATGTTCTACCCCTAGCAGGTTTGACTACACCCCTAAACTTTTATGTAACATATTATAGATGAGGTTTTGTAAAATAATTGAGTAATTGTTTCAAAATATTAACAAAGTCGAAGTTATGAAATGCTTTGTGTGGGAGGATTACCAATTGATGTTGGCATTTCATCCAACCCTATGGAAAAAAACAACCCCAGTGATAGCCACTGGGTAGACTTTGAACCTAAATCCAAATTTTTATGATCGATCCTGTATGGGATAAGTACACGGGAAATGGTAATTAACTGGACTATCTAATACAAGTGGAGTTTGTTTTGATACTTACCGTTTTTATTTTTGATTTACCCACTCAAACACTATATTAAGTCAACCAAACAAAACCGTCTGTTTAACATACTGTTGCCTGTCCTGTGGTACAACCAAAGAGTAAAGTGCAGACTAAAATAACAGAAACAAATTTTATCAACATCATCACACTTTTACATAACCAGATATAAAACTTTAAATATTACAAACAAAGAGATATTAAATATACTTGCAGAATACGAAGTTCATTGTATTACATAGTGATTTACCACTTACCTACCTATGTTGGAGTATCCCTGCCCTGTAGATGTTTGACCTGTAACGTCTTACAAAGCTTGTTGGTATAATTTATCACTCATTTTGAGGGGATGGGAGGAAGGGTTAAAACCACCCCCCTGCTCTATACAGGACACCACAGGGGTAAAATCCATCACTAGGCTCAACAATTTCGAGTATGTTTGTGAACCTACAAATATCATCATTTTATTAAATTTGCTGCATATTATTTATAACAAATTGTACATGTAAAATTCGTTCTTAGTTATAAACTAGATTTAATTAGGTATTATTATAGTTGTAACTAAGTAAAATAATATAATTTTGAAAATAGTGCTTCTTCACTTAAGTGTTAATTTTTTCTTTAATATTGTACATTGTGTTTTCAATGCTTGAGCAGTTATAATTTATGACACAACTGACTGACATGCTTCATTGTTAACGTGTCAAATTAAACTTTCAACCATAGTGATTTTTTTAGTCGTCTCAAAGGTTTGGAAAAAAACAGTAATACATCTTGTTACACCTAATCATTCCCAAACAACATTCCTAATTGACAAACAACTCAGTGCAAATTGTACTTAAAATAAAGTATATTCAGGTTTGATCACACTTTGTGTCTCTAAGCAATTTTCATGTCCTATTGAGGTTTCTTGCATGACTGTAACATTTCACAAGACATTGTCACTAACGTAGCTGATTGTTTCCGCAGGAGTGCAGAAGAAGGTGAACGTTGGGTGACAGTTTTTGGGTTTCCACCAGCCGCAGCTTCATCCGTCCTGGGACAGTTCTCTCAAGTGGGACACATTATTGAGCACAGGTAAATGTATAATTTGATTTTTTAATGTTTTTTAAAATTTTTGATTACCTGGTTTGAATAATTTTTTGAACATTTGTGTTTATTTATTTTTTATGTCCTTCTAGGAGAGTTTTCTTAGCTTTCAAAGTCTATTTTTAAACCACCAAAACTTTCAAATTAGTCCTAAGCCGAAAGTTGAGATTTTTGGTGGATCGACATGATTATTATTAGCAAATCTACTTTACTTTCTCACGTTTTAATATTGAACACTTGAATCCTGCATAGTCTAAAACACCCTATATACACTATACAGGGTGAAAAAAGTCCTGGGACGGCTAAGTATTTCAAAAAGTAATATAGATAGAGCATCAAAACTTGTTACACAGTTACTCTGCATTAAATTTTAACACATTATTCAAAGATGCGCTACCTCTTCAGGAGGACGGCCCGCTAGGAGTCAGAAGAAAATCTTAAATGTAATCATAGGTTGATATGCACATCAAATTAAAGAGATTTTTGTTAGTAAAATACAATGCCGCAAAACCAAACTTAAACGGACAACAGAGTCAAAAATGACAGCTGTTCAAAGATGCATTAAAATTGCATTGCTATTATACGCGACCTCCTCAGGGGGGCGCCCGCTAGAAGCTGGAAGAAAATCATAAACGTATGCATGGGTCGATATGCACATAAATTAATTAAAGGTCTTCATTAGTACTGGGTATAAAATGGCTGCCGCTCAAATATTCAAAATGGCAGGATCAAGAAATATTTGAACGGCTGCCATTTTTGACTTGGTTGTCTGTTTGAGTTCTCGTTTGTGGCATTGTATTCTACCAACTAGTAAAAACCTTTAATTTGATGTGCATATCGACCTATGCTTACATTTAAGATATCCTTCTGACTCCTTGTGGGCCGGCCCCCGCTGAAGAGGTAGTGTATCACGTGTTAAAATTATGTTAATGCCCAGTAACTGTGTACCAAGTTTTAAAGCTCTATCTTTATTAATTTTTGAAATATTTAACTGTCCCGGGACAATTTCCACCCTTTATGTGGACAAATATGTAGTTAGACTAATCAGATTGCTCCTTCCGTCTATGCTATAATATAGATAACTAGCTGTAACCCGCGGGCTTTGCCCCGTTTAACTTCTTAATTTTCAAGATGATCTCGTTCGCTACGCTCACTCACCTTTAGGTTGGAGCTCGTTTGCTCCGCTCACTTGCCTTCAGGTTAGCTCATTCGCTACGCTAACTTGCCTCCAGGTTGAAGTTCGTTCGCTACGCTCACTCACCTTTTGGTTGCAAATTAGCTGTTGTCATAAATGTAAAAGAAATAATAGTGCTGCACCCTGTTGGTAATCCTTGTAACTTTAATGCTATTGAACATCATAGAACAGAACCAACTTGTTTAATTGAAACAGCTGTTAAGATTCAATAATTCCATTTCTCATAAGGTTAACATGGGAAACTCCAGAGCCACTGGGGCGGAGCCTGAAAGGATTTTTGAAATAAGAATATGCCTATATGTTAATCGGGAATGTGAGCTATCATCATGCCAAGTTTCAGCCCAATCCGAACAGTATTTTTCACGTTCACTTGTCACAAACATACATCCATCCATACATCCAAACTTTCTCATTTATAATATTGTGACGCAAAATTCTAGGGGGGGAATAAACTAGTATTCACCAAAGTCAGGCTAGGCCTACCCTAGAACTGGCCACCCTCAAATTTCTTCCCCGGAGTGCTCAGAAGGAGCCGAGAAAAATCCAGGGGTCGATACGAAGTTGTCACGGTTTGACTGATCAATTTATTTAAATTTAATCGAAGGCTCAGAGCTCTAGAAGCGCTCAGGAAATCCTGCAGACGCCCAGTTGGAGCTATATCATCCCAGCCTTCGTAAAAATGTTTTGGTAAATTTTGCCTAACCTTTGGAATGACTCTGTAGGGCCGACGAGTATTCTATCTTAGCCAATTTGATTCAATTACTCGTAATGAACTTTAAAATAATGGACTAAAGGCCTAGGTAAATAATATAGAATATAATATGACGTAAAACCCAATCCCTACACAGAGTCGTCGGGGCCTAATTAATATAATTGGACGGATAATTTATCGTGATAGGTTTAAAATAAATTTAATATTAATTGTCGTAGCTGATTATTCAACTCAGCCTGCTCCCAAGACTTGATACTTTCACCCGCCAAAGACGGGGTTTAGAACTCAGACGACAAGTCTCGGGGTATTAAAACGGCGAATTTACTGGAGTAACTTAAGTAATAATTAATCGTGAAACGAACGGAATTAACGTAATTTAATAGCCAATTTATTTAAAAGAGCCGAAAAATATCCACCGCTAGTCACTGGCAGGCAGGAACTGGCGGGTTTTGTACAAGTCGGCGAAAACTAAGTTAATAAAATTTAGTTATTGAAAATCGAATTTGGAAACGGGAATGCGAATGTTAAACGGAAATCTAAACGTAAATCGTAGCAATGTGATTAACTAATATAGCTAACCTTCGGTAAACAAATTATCGCTGATCGTGCAAGCGTTGATAACGGGCGAATGTAATGACGAAGTTACTTCGAAGACGGCGTACGAACGAATAATCCTGTCTTTGAGTAAAATCCTTCGTTCCTGCTGCCCGCTCGAGGCTTACGCGCTCAAGCGGCGAACTTTAGTACTACTAGATAACGGCTGATCGAATTCACTTGTTGAGCTGGTCTAGTTTCATCTGTCGTCTGTCAACAAATAAACACCAGTTTGGGGTTATGTCGTCGGCGGCGTTAAATATCTGTAAAATCGGTCGGTTTAACTTTATTATGTGAAACAAAGTGCTATTATGAATAAATATGTAGTTGTGGATGTGTTTGTGTACTTCACTGTGAATAAAAATAGGCCTACGTTCTTTGGCCCATAGCCCAAGCTATGGCCAACACATAGGCCTAGGAGTAGGCTACTGTGGTTAAAAATCGGGTAAGTTCTGGTGTTCATTTATTCGTAGTACGTTTTTACCCCCCTTAAAATTTGGTACCTTACAATATTAGTAGGATATGCACATACAACTTGCAATCAACAAGCAGATTTAAACTAACTCACAGGTACCATAGGGAAATCCTGACAACAAAACTATGCATTTGTCTAGTGAATTTGCTTATAAACATTTTCTGGATGAAAAGACTGATTTACTCTCAGATTCTAATATGATCACCACTGACATTTTTTGGTGTAACTAATTAGTTGTTTAACTCTTAACTCCTTTTAGATTTCCCGGCCAAGGCAACTGGGTGAACATCTGCTACGCTAGCAAGCTTGATGCTCGCCGAGCACTGTCGTACAATGGAAAGGTGCTCTCCGGACACACCATGATCGGAGTTGTACCTTGCAGAGACTATGTGAGTAATTATTAATAGAATTATAGTGGTGACACAGCTGGTTTAATTGTTTCAGAGCGGGACTTGAGAAATGGAGAACCAGGTTAGAATCCTGTTAATCACTATTTGGCTCTTTGTGATAATAGTCATATCTAATAAGAACAATTTTGGCTAGTGACCAAGAAGATGAGGTTTTGTAAAATAATTGAGTAAATGTTTCAAAATATTAACACAAGTCGAAGTTATGAAATGCTTTGTGTGGGAGGAATATCAATTGATCCTTTTGTAATGCACCTACGAATATAAACAGTTCCAATTTATACAGATTACTGAGGTTACCATTGTAATATTACAACCACCTTGTACAAGGGTCGTGACATGCACATGCTGACCTGTTCTGCACAAGGATGTAGGATAAGGATGACATTCTGCACTTCTTGCTTTACCATTTACCAAAAAACTGGATTTTAGGGTCCAATTTACAAAAGAAATGGTCTGATTTTTCCAGTTTTTGCCAGAGTATTAAACTCATAGTTTTTTGGGTTATGTTTCAGAATAAATTGAACTAAATGAATGGCTAAGAAGCACGTGCAAATATGCAGATAAACACAAATAGTTATTTGATAATTTTATTAAACTTTAATTCAAATTTCAAGTTTTTTACATTATTCTTGCAATTTTTTTAAAGATCAATTATTCAATGAGAAGACCTGTAATTCTAAGATACAGCATGAATAATAGACAGACTTTTCTTAGAAGGTGCCCCTGTACAGTGAGTTTAAATATGGTTTTTAATGGAATTATTGATTATTATCAAAAACTAGTTCAATACATATTTTAAAACTTCGATTGTTTCCACAGAATCGTCTTCACCTATAACCCATTGTAGAATATCATTTTGCAAAACTCTCATTTGAATCACTTAGTAAAGTATGTAGCATATCATGGTAAAATAGTAAGAAAATTAGTTAGGCCATGTCCATTTTCTCCTCAGACCTTAGACCTTCATTATAATCTAAAGTTGAATATTCTTAGAAAATTTTAATATTTTTTGTGCCAGAAATAGTTTAATTTAAACTGAAATTCTTTGCCAAATCTATTTGGCATTCCAAAATGAAAGTTCTCATTGAATTTCAACTGCATGCCTATTAGTTGTTGTTTAGCAAATTTCCCTAAAGGGAACTAGCTATTACCTTAGGTGGCACGGTAAGACATATGCGTGGGAACTATTTAATTTTTCATTTTGATGTCCCCAGGGGCAAAAAACACCATTCCTTCAAATTTGTATATATGTATGTTTTATATAGATATAGACATATGTGTCTGTGAACACGATAACTTGAGTAATTTTTGTCTGATTTTGATGAAATTTGGTTTAAAGGTGTAAGGGAGGATAAGCTTGAATGAGTTTGCGAACCAGCATGATCGGACCATGGGAACGGGGTTTTACAAGGGGTTTTATGGGGTAAAAATTTGTTTTTCTCATTCTTGACCCTCAAAACACAAAATTTCTCAGTTTCTCTAAAACTTCTTAAAGGGCTTATAAAAACAAAAAAACAAATGATATAGTATATAATATAGTACCGTTATTGGTAACAGAGAAAAATCAAAAATTGTAATTTGAAATTCCCATGTTATTCTTATGGATAATTTTGTAAAATGTTGTAGTTTGCTTGTTTATGGATACATTTTGATCAAACTTGTCAAATTTATTTATCTTATACCATGCTATTAATATTTTACTAAAAACACAATTTATTAGTTTTCCTTTTTACAAATTTACTAACTTTTTACATTTCAAGACTTAAATATTTTATCCTACACTTGTGGTTACAGACACAACAAGGCAGTGCGTTGAAGGATATGACCAACATGTTCAGCAGTACTGCCACGCCGACAACACCCAAATCCCCTCAGGTGACTCGTCTGTCCCAGCGACGGTTGGTAACATCCCCCACTTCACCGTACGCTCCGTCTCCCCGGGGCGGACGTCCCCTCAACATGACAGCCCAAACGGAAAATGAGGTTTGTGTTAACCTTTTTGTTAATTTTGATGGGTTTGATTTTGCTGTGAAAGTAACTGAGGTCAAAAGTTCTCGGTGATAAGAAAATAGGTCCCAAAGCAGAACTACGGGCGACAGTGCGACATTGTCGCAGAAAGACGAGAAGGGCTGCAGAAAGCCCAACCTGCCCAACTATTTTCTTGAATTTTGTTTTGTTTTATTTTTTAGATTTTTTAATTGGAATTTTTTTAAATATTTTCTTTGCAGACAAAGGGCCACATGGCCCTTTCTTACACTTAACCTATAATGTATATAATTATGTTTTTGCAGAAAATTTTACATAACAAGTTAGAGAAATTGTTTTTTTGCAGAAAATATTTCTGTAGAAAGTTTACAACTTTATTTTCTGCAGAAAAATTTTCTATTCTACAAACAGTGATGCTCCAGTCCTTCTATAGTTTGCCAGTTCATACTTTAGAATAAATAATAAGCTTTTTCATGTTTAAATAGTATTTTCGAACATCGCTAATATCCTCCTCTATCAAAGCTTCATCAGGTATGAATAAAATGAAAATCAACAGTAACATCTTTTGAAAAAATGCCTTGTTAGCGAGATATCAACATTTTTAGTATTTAAAATATATTTCTAAAACCATACCAAATTTCATAATGATATCTTTAATAGTTTTAGATATATACATTTTAAATACTAAAAATCCAAAACGCTGAATATTTTGTTAACAAGGCATTTCTTTAAAAAAGTTTTATTCTTGATTTTTGTTTTATTTTGACTCATAAAACCTTTTCCTGGATTTTGGCTATTTACTTACGGAACACCATGTGTTCTGGCAGTTCATATAGAACTTAAGGTATTACAGCTGATACTGTCAGATCTATTCATGTTTTTGGTATACACATGCTGTGTTGTTAGATGAATACAAGCTGTTATTAGATAAGTTAGGCTACTTTTTTACTCATGAGGATTTTCCAGCGAGCATTATTAATTTTATTCTGGAATATTATTGTGCTACCTTCAGATCAAGCAACATCATTATAAATATTTCTTGAGCTCAACCTCATATTGCCTTATTAATGATAGAGCATAAATGTACTAAATCAAATGTAAATTTAAAATCATGCCGATCCTAGCTAATATGAATAAACAGTCACTACATATGTCATAAAATTTCTTTCAAAAGTATTTATTTGTTATTTTAACTCTGTTTAACTCTGCTAATCTAAAAATGTTTGTATTTGTTGATAGAAATTCAAGATTTACAATATCTGTTACAGGTGCACGGGTCACAAAATACCCCAACAAAAAGTACAAGTTTTGTGACAAAAGCAGTGGATTACGTATTCGGTTGGTAACACAAGTTTCCAAGTAAATCAATTTCAACAGACTTAGGTATTATCATATTTCAACTCTACTTTCCTGGACATTACTCGTTACTGGACGTTACTCGTTGGACGTTACTCGTACTTTTGACTTCTAAGTTTTATACACTTAGACCTAACTATTGTTTTGTGATTATGTTTCTTATACTGTAAACCTATTGACGGTTGTTATATTCTGACACCATTGTTATACTGCTTTACATTATATGTTGTAATTTTTTTAAGAAATATACATATGAAAATTATTTTGAATATTTGTTACCCACTTAATTAAGTCGATTATTATATTTTACTGACTGACATAAAAAAGTCAACTATTTTGCAATACCAACTCTCAAAGTTAAAAAAAAATGCAAAGGTCTGTGTGAAAGTTAAACCAAATTTTAAATGGACGTTTCTTGACTAAAGCGGGGTTTTTTCCTTTGTTGTTATGCCTGTGTGATTTTTACAACTAATTCATACAGCAATGCTTTATAGGCCCCTGAATATATGGTTTGACCTAGAAATAATTAGAACACAGATGAAACCATTGTTGTTCGATAGTGAAAAGTATTGTGAATAACATATCAAAAGTCTCCAAAAATATCTTTGGTGGAACACCACCATTTTTCCAAAATGGCGGCCAAATCCAGTAGTTTTTTGCTTTTTATTGAAATTCTGACTTCCCAATCAATATTGGTGAAAAGTCGTCAATACATTTAATGTTCCTCCTGAAATTACCTTTAAAATGATACCAAATACATGTACCTACAACAAAAAATAAACCCCGTAGAAATAATAAAATATTTCAAATAAAAATATTTTTTATAAATTAATGTAATAGTCCAAGCAAACTAAAAATAACGTACACAGGGATCGTATAAAAATTTGCTACTAAACATTTTATGGTTTTATTTTTATTGTTGTGGTGTGCAGAGTGACATACCAAAAGTTGCAAAAAATCAGTCCACGGGAAACCCCTAAATTAAGGAAAAATGGCGGCTTTTCCCAATATTGGACAAATTTTGCAACAAAAGATACCACATGTTTTTTTACACATTTTTCGAGATATTGACTTGGAACCACGACCGATATTTATTGGATGGTCCGTACATAATTTCAATAGGGGACGCTTTTTGGGCCGCCATCTTGGATCAGCCATATTGGATCTGCCATATTGGATATAAATATTTTTTAATGTAATTATAGTGTTGTGACACATCATTAGGAACTAGATTTCCACGCTAATATGTCCTAATATGTCCCGCTAATATTTTCGGAAATATGTCCCTGATTAAAATTGTTTGTTTTCTTATTCTACATAATTACTCAATTATTAGTATTTCCAATCTTAGTAGAACTAATTCAAACTGAACCAACACATTATCCAACCAACTTCTTGACATGCTTGAATAGTGCTACAAATGATGTGCGGATACTTAGAAATCCCCAGATTGAAAATTGAAATGAATCTACTAACCAATGCCTTCAAAATTCCTTACATTCTATTGAAATAAATACTATAAGTTCTTAATTTTACCTCTTTTATACATATATAGAGGTCATTAGAACGTCTGAGTCTCCTTTTGAACTATTTCACTCCATAACCCCGAGCCCTGACTATCGTTCACTCCACACCCCCTAAATCAATAATTTGGATTTATACCTAGTTTGGATTTAATCATACTAGTTAGCAGCCCGTGCTCCGCCACGGGAATATTGTCAAATAAAATAAAATCAGGTTTATTTCAATAAGTAAATACATTTTTACAATACTTTGTCAGTTAAGATTTCATAGTTATGCAATGATATAAATAAATAAAATAATATACTAACATAGTCATTAAATATGAAATGCCTCACATAGGCTACTACCTGCGCGTGAGAGATTTCCGCTATCAGGAAATAATAATATTAGAAATTTAAAAAATAGATAAAATAAAAGACGTAATAATTAACAAATACTGTTTATCTTTGTATTTTATTTAGGGACTGCTTTTTTATATGAAGTAGAACGGATAGTTGGGCCTGTATAAACTATTTATGTTAATCAAACCAATATATTAGTTTAACCAAATGAATGTTTTAAATTAATTCAAGTTACATTTGAAAAATAAATGGTGTATGAACTGCACAATGCTGATAACCTACCTAATAAGCTACTTATGCTATGGAGATAGGGGGTTATTGTATATTCCTACATTCGTTGTTTTCTTGTTCATTACATTCATTGTGCGGAATAAAGATAGTAATTTAAATCACGCATCAGCAGTTGGCCGCATTTCACGGATCTTTGACCCATTCTATGAGTAACAGCTGCGTATACGTCGTATAGGCTATATCATAAAGTTGGAATAAGGGATAAGTTGGATAAAGGGAAAATTGTAGGGAAAAAGGGAAAAATAATTTGGGAAAATGGGATATAGGGAAAAGTGTAGGGAAGAAGGGAAAAATAATTTGGGAAGACGGGATAAAGGGAAAAGTATAGGGAAAAAGGGAAAACAGTTGGGAAAAAGGGAAAAATTATTTGAGAAAATGGGATAAAGGGAAAATTGTAGGGAAAAAGGGAAAACAGTTGGGAAAAAGGGAAAAATAATTTGAGAAAATGGGATAAAGGAAAAATTGTAGGGAAAAAGGGAAAACAGTTGGGAAAAAGGGAAAAATAATTTGAGAAAATGGGATAAAGGAAAAATTGTAAGGAAAACGGGAAAAATAATTTGGGAAAATGGGATATAGGGAAAAGTGTAGGGAAAAAGGGAAAAATAATTTGGGAAAACGGGATTAAGGGAAAAGTGTAGGGAAAAAAGGGAAAAAAGTTGGGAAAAAGGGAAAAATAATTTGAAAAAATGGGATAAAGGGAAAATTGTAGGGAAAAGGGAAAAATAATTTGGGAAAATGGGAAAATTGTAGGGAAAAAGGGAAAAAAGTAGGGATTAAGGGAAAAGTGTAGGGAAAAAGGGAAAACAGTTGGGAAAAAGGGAAAAATAATTTGAAAAAAAATGGGATAAAGGGAAAATTGTAGGGAAAAAGGGAAAAATAATTTGGGAAAATGGAATAAAGGGAAAATTGTAGAGAAAAAAGGGAAAAATAATTTGGGAAAACGGGATTAAGGGAAAAGTGTAGGAAAAAAAAAAAGGGAAAAAGTTGGGAAAAAGGGAAAAATAATTTGAAAAATAATTTGGGATAAAGGAAAAATTGTAGGGAAAAAGGGAAAACAGTTGGGAAAATGGGAAAAAGGGAAAATTGTAGAGAAAAAGGGAAAATAGTAGGGATTAAGGGAAAAGTGTAGGGAAAAAGGAAAAACAGTTGGGAAAAAGGGAAAAATAATTTGACAAAAAATGGGATAAAGGGAAAATTGTAGGGAAAAATAATTTGGGAAAATGGGAAAAAGGGAAAATTGTAGGGAAAAAGGGAAAAGAGTAGGGAAAAAGGGAAAATAATTTAGAAATAAGGGATAGAGGGAAGAGAGTTGGGAAAAAGTTGAAAAAATTTGGGAAAACGGGATAAAGAGAAAATTGTAGGGATAAAGGGAAAAAAATTCGGAAATGGGATAAAGGGAAAATTGTAGGGCAAAAGGGGAAAAAGGGAAAAGAGTTGGGAAAAAGAGGAAAATAATTTGAGAAAATGGAATAAAGGGAAAATTGTAGGGAAAAAGAGGAAAAAGTAGGGAAAAAGGGAAAAATAATTAAGGAATACGGGATAAAAGGAAAATTGTAGGGCAAAATGGAATAAAGGGAAAACTGTAGGGCAAAATGGGATAAAGGGAAAAGTGTAGGGAAAAAGGGAAAACAGTTGGGAAAAAGTGAAAAATAATTTGAGAAAATGGGATAAAGGGAAAATTGTAGGAAAAAAGGGAAAAATAATTTGGGAATACAGGATAAAGGGAAAAATAATTTGAGAAATTGGGATAAAGGGAAAATTGTAGGGAAAAAGGGAAAACAGTTGGGAAAAAGGGAAAAATAATTTGGGAAAATGGGATGAAGAGAAAATTGTAGGGAAAAAGGGAAAAATAATTTAGGAAAAGGGAAAATGGAAAATTGTAGGGAAAAAGGGAAAAAAGTAGAGAAAAAGGGAAAAATAATTTAGAAATAAGGGATAGAGGGAAGAGAGTTGGGAAAAAAGGGGAAAAATTTGGGAAAACGGGATAAAGGGAAAATTGTAGGGATAAAGGAAAAAAAAATCGGAAATGGGATAAAGGGAAAATTGTAGGGCAAAAGGGGAAAAAGGGAAAAGAGTTGGGAAAAAGAGGAAAATAATTTGAGAAAATGGGATAAAGGGAAAATTGTAGAGGGAAAACTGTAGGGCAAAATGGGATAAAGGGAAAAGTGTAGGGAAAAAGGGAAAACAGTTGGGAAAAAGGGAAAAATAATTTGAGAAAATGGGATAAAGGGAAAATTGTAGGGAAAACGAGAAAACAGTTGGGAAAAAGGGAAAAATAATTTGGGAAAATGGGATAAAGGGAAAAATAATTTCGGAAAATGGGATAAAGGGAAAAATGATTTGGGAAAATGGGAAAAAGGCAAAAATAATTTAGGAATAAGGGATAAGGGGAAAAAAAACTGTAGGGCAAAATGGGATAAAGGGAGAAATAATTTGAGAAATTGGGATTAGGGAAAATTGTAGGGAAAAAGGGAAAAATAATTTGGGAAAAGGGAAAAATAATTTGGGAAAATGGGATAAAGGGAAAAATTTTTTCGGAAAATGGGATAAAGGAAAAATAATTTGGGAAAATGGGATATAGGGAAAAGTGTAGGGAAGAAGGGAAAAATAATTTGGGAAGACGGGATAAAGGGAAAAGTATGTAGGGAAAAAGGGAAAAATAATTTAGGAAAAGGGAAAATGGAAAATTGTAGGGAAAAAGGGAAAAAAGTAGAGAAAAAGGGAAAAATAATTTAGAAATAAGGGATAGAGGGAAGAGAGTTGGGAAAAAAGGGGAAAAATTTGGGAAAACGGGATAAAGGGAAAATTGTAGGGATAAAGAAAAAAAAATCGGAAATGGGATAAAGGGAAAATTGTAGGGCAAAAGGGGAAAAAGGGAAAAGAGTTGGGAAAAAGAGGAAAATAATTTGAGAAAATGGGATAAAGGGAAAATTGTAGAGGGAAAACTGTAGGGCAAAATGGGATAAAGGGAAAAGTGTAGGGAAAAAGGGAAAACAGTTGGGAAAAAGGGAAAAATAATTTGAGAAAATGGGATAAAGGGAAAATTGTAGGGAAAACGAGAAAACAGTTGGGAAAAAGGGAAAAATAATTTGGGAAAAGGGAAAAA